CATACTACAGCAACATGACTCAAGAAGCAGGCATTTTGCCATCTGTCTTCACAGTGTTTTCTGCTGTGTCTTCCTTTTAAATTAAAGGAACTACTGGAAACTATACTTCACCAACACAAGAAAATAAACCAAGAAAGAGGAGGGCCTGAGTCTCAGGATACAGGTAATACATGCCAGGAGAATGGTAAAGGCAATTCCAAATTGGAGAGCAAGAGAAGTCCAAGGATAATACTACAGCAAGCCCAGAGAGCACAGACCCAGAGAGAAGTCCCCAGGAGGGAGGGCTTGAAGGAAAACAGTTGAAGTGGCTAGATTACCCAGTGTGGGTGGGCTATGGGAAAATGTACTGAGACACAATGGGAAGACATGGCAAAAAATAGCAATAATACAAAAAGCACCAACCACAAGGAAAAAATCAAGGCATGTTTTACCTGAGGGAAAAAACAGCAAGGTAATAGAAAACAAGGAGAGGCTGAGACACTGTCACAACCAAGAGGAGCAGAAAGAGTCATGACAACTCAGGGTATCCTGGATGTGGTATCCTGGAAATGGTCCTGGAACAGACAAAACGCATTAAGCAAAAACAAAGGAAATCTGAGTAAACAACAGGCTTTAGCTAATAATAATGTCTCAGTATTTATTTATTTGTAGTAACAGATGTGCTATACTAACTGTTGATAGAAGAAACAGTTCAGGGTAAGAGAACTCTGTATGTACAACCTTGACATTTTTCTGTAAAACTGCTAAAAAATAAAGTTTATTTTTTAAAAAAGGAAGAAAATCACAATTAAATACACTTCAGCTTTGAGCTTTGAATAATATTTGTATAGGCACAATAATGCAAATACTGATTTAACAAAAAGATTGCAATGCAACTACATTGGAAGGGTGGGGAAGAAATGTGTAAAGCAGAGAGATGGCCGAGTGAGAGAACCAAACTCTTATTTACCATAAAAAAGATAAGTAGATAATGTCTAAAATTGATAATTGATAGCAGAATATGCCTATTATTTAGAAATGTGAAGGTATATTATAGCAGGAGGAACAGCTAAGATGAGAAAGAGGTTGTCTCTGAGTAAAAGGATTAGGAAAACAGGACATGTGGGACAGAGAACCATTGTTTATTATTTAGCCTTTTCTTTTTTTTCTTTCTTTCCAGACAGGGTCTCACTTTGTCATCCAGGGTGGAGTGCAGTAGCATGAACATGGCTCACTGCAGCTTCGACCTCCTAGGCGCAAGCAATCTTCCCAATCTCAACCTACCTAATAGTTGGAATTACAGGTGTTAGCCACTATGCCCAGCTAATTTTTTTTTTTCTTTTGTAGAGACAGGGTTTTGCCATGTTGCTCAGGCTAGTCTCAAATTCTGAAGCTCAAGCCATCAGCCCAATTTGGCTTTTCAAAGTGCTGGGGTTATAGGCATGAGCCCTCACCCAGCTATTTAGCCTTTTCAGTGTTAGTTTTCAGATGTGTGCATGTACTAATTTGATAAACATCAACTTTAAAAAATCAAGAGGATGAAATAGATTTTAATGCATTGACGAAAAACCTGCCACGACATTGGCAAACTGAAAAGCAAATTCTAGGCCAGGTACAATGGCTCACACCTGTAATTCCAGTGCTTTGGGAAGCCAAGGTGGGCAGATAACTGGAGATCAAGAGTTCGAGACCAGCCTGGCCAACATGGTGAAACCCCATCTCTACTATAGATACAAAGATTAGCCGGCTGTGGTGGCATGTGCCTGTAATCCCAGCTACTCAGGAGGCTCAGGCAGAATTGCCTGAACCCAGGAAATGGAGGTTGTAGTGAGCCGAGATCATGCCACTGCACTCCAGCCTGGGGGACAGAGCGAGACTCCATCTCAAAATAAAAAATAAATATTTAAAAAATAAATTCTAGGAATGCCACAGAAATAACCCTAATGGCATTACTAAGTACAGGTTGGTTGCTATATTGAAGTTTTTCTCTTTTCTAAAACGTGCCAATATACTAAAAATTAATGTCTTCATTTCTGAAATGAAGTCAAAGTAATTCCCTCCATTGACTACTTTCTGAATTCTTCTATTCTCTGGTAGAAAATCTGCTTTTACTTCATCACATCAAAATTCTCCAATGTATGCTTGTCACCTCTCTCTTGCCTTCATTTCTCTCAATGCAACTTTCTCCCTAAATGTTCTCACAAACCCATCAACAATCCCCAATACTAAAAAAATTCTATCAGTTTTAGGTCCTACTTTCTGATGGCTGAAGAAATGGATATTTTCTTAGGTTGGCTTCACTGTACACTCACGATTTTCATTCCATTGAAAATTAGCACTCAATAGTCTTTTACTCATCCCTTTTTTTTCCTAATCATGTGCTATTCTTTTATGGCATCCAATCTTCTTTGGCCTTTCTCCTGACATTACTCCCTGATGACTTTCTTTGCCAAAATAAAAAATGTCTTGCTTGAACTCATACTTTTTTCATCTCCAAATATACCCTTTCTTCCCTTTCCTTTTGTGCAGAGTAAGAAATATCCCCACTTCTTTCTGAGGCTCTTTCCATCTACCTCACTTCTCCTTTCTTAGACACGTTTTACCCAGGATTTTGAAATTAGCATTCTGATTGCAAAATGGCTGGATAAATGAAATAAATGAAACTTGCCATTTTAATTACCATTTCCCTAAATTACCTCCTTTCCTACTTCCACTGCAGTGGTATAGGCCCTTAACCATCACTTGGTTGGTTGGCTGCTGCTCCATCGAATGTTCTTATAATTTTTTCACTCATCGTCTTTCTTCCATGATTTGCTATTTCTCCTGACTTACCACATATTCAAGGTTCTTACGTGTGTGGGTGAAAATGAACTTTTCTTCCCCACATTTGTATTTCATCCTTGGTTTCCAGGCTTCTTTAAAGGTTTTTCACATTTACTGACAACATCCATTTAACTATAGTAGAGTATCTCTGCAGTGGGTGAAGTTCTAAACTTTCGTTGGCTGAATACAAACTGATTTTGACTGCTTGCTTTCTTCCCCTCCACCTCTGATGCTCAGTCCAGGGCTCCCAGTGTGGCTCTCCCAGGGCATACTATTCTGGGAAGGACTGTTTGGTAAGCCTATTTAGACCCTTGTCAAGTATAAACTCATTGTTTTGAAGAAGGCCTAAAGACTGTTGAAATAATCAAAACGAGTGCTTTGTTTAGACAGAGATGTTTAAGTGTTCAGTAAACATTTGTTGTATATGATAGCTAATATTTTATTAAGCACTTGCTACTGCTAAGAAATTCACATTATCTTAATGTCCTTAAGAAGCATCTGAAGGGACATTTTCCATTATACAGATAAGGAAAGTAACTTTTAGAGATAAATAACTTGCTTAAAGTCAATATTGTAGGCTCTTGAGCCAAGATTCATACTGGTGGGCTGAATGTGTAACTGCATTCTTAATCACTCGATTACACTGTCTTGGCTGTAAAACACTAGTTACAATAAATAACAAGGGCATAGTCATTCCTGGAGACAAACTAGTCAAGGCAGTAATGCCAGGCAACTATAATGCAAATAGGTCTCCATAAGTGCAATCTAAAAGGAACAAAGCGTTATTGGAGTCCTACTGAGAGATCACGAGACATTCCTTCTAGCTAGAGTACTTAAAAGGATGTGGACTTCAAATGTGGCTTAAAGTTTAAGGAATGGACAAGATTTAAACAATTGTCATTAAAAGGGAAAGGTAGATCAGAAAAGGGATGTCACTAACAAAAACATGAACCAGGAAGGAATAGAGCATGCTCATGAGACAGGAGCCTAATTTCATTAAAGCAAAAGGTGGGTGAAGCTAAGGGATAAGAATCAAGACAGGAAAAATAGTTTGAGACGAAATTATTCTGAAGCAAGCATCTGGACTTCATCTGCAGACTGTAAGGAGTCTATGAAGATTTCTGAGCATAGTACCATGACAAGAGTTTTTTAGGAAGATCGATTTGGGAACAGGTTGTAGCACTGGTGTAGAGAGAGACTAACAGTTTTTTATAGGAGACTCAAGATAGTTCCAGTAAATGGTCACAAGATCTTGACCCTAAGGAGAGAGACGACAGAAATGAGAAGGGCAGAGATTTCCAAAGTAGAATCAACTCAAGTTGGTCCTAGTAAAACTATGACACCTAAGCAATATAACTCTAAAAAACATAAGCATTTGTCTGTTACAGAAGGCTGGGACATATTTAAAACTAAAATTTAGAATTAAGTTTGGTTTAAAAGCCTGTTGCATTCACACACACATTTCTACACACACAAATATACAAACACGCTGTATACACCTATGTAGTGAGATTTGAAATGAAGATCTAGAAAATAAAATGTAGGTTAAAATCAAGATAACTCGAGACTGACTATGGAAGCAAAAAGAAGGCAATTTAGTTTTGTTAAATTTTGTCTGACTTAGTTTTTATTAAACAGTTACATGTATAAATTTAAAATAGAATTTTTTTTCTCAAAGTACTCTCTTAAAACGGTTTATCCCATTAACTGGCCTTAATAAGAAAATAATTTTCTGTGTATTAACAAGTGGGCATCTTCAACTTGATTGGCTTCAATACAAAGTTTCCATTTCACCCAGTTAAGAAATATTTAAAATCATTCAATCATTAGAGAATTTTTTAAAAGTAAGTGACAAGAAAGGAAGAAGAGCATTTTAAATTACTTCATATGCATTAACAAACTAGATAGTAAACTACAACTTCCCTATCTTCTACCATCTTCTCAGCATCTGAAGCAACATTTGGAAGAAATAAGTTCTCTGTATACCAAAAGATCTCCTAGAATTCTAAATGTTAATGATTAAAACAGGAATCTTGAAATGCTTATTATACATTTTCAAAGAATGTTCACATATGGTTCACACACAGATTTAACAGGAATAATCAGTTCAATCATGATTTAAGCCCTGAATCTCTTAGTTTAGTTGTAAAATTGAGAAGGTTGTTGTAGACAGGTTATAAACTTCCTTCAAGCATTACAGTGCTACAATTCATTAATTGTAGATATTGAACATCCACTACTTTTGCAAAACATTATGCTACAAGGTCTTGCACCTAAATTATACCTGCCCTCGAGAGCAACAACTAGGAGTCCCTTTTATTCAGCTTTGATTTCTTCACTGGGTTCAGGATGATAAATAAACTAGCTGTTGGACTTAACTCTCCATTTTCATTACCACAATAAACTCATTTCATTTGTACAATGAAAGTTGGAAAACTTTATTATATCTGGATAATAAAGAAAAAAAAAGAGTACCAACAATGAAATAAAGGTACTTTTTGAGATTTATACATATAAAACAAGTTAAGTAGTTGAATAGGCATTGTCTAAACCTATGCTGTCCATTATCATAGCCACTAGTCAGCCACACTGGACAACTGATCACTTAAAATGCTGAATGGAGATGTAAAGAAAGCGTAAAATATACATCAGATATCAGAAAAAAGAATGTAAATTCTCCCGTAACTTCAACATATTGGATGTATGTTAAAATATTTTGGAGCTACTGGATTAAGTATTAAAATTAATTTTTTTACTTTTTAAAATTTGGCTATAGAAATTTTAATATATATATATATATATGGCTCACATTATATTTCTATTGTTCTCAACTTTTAAGTACCTTCTCCACAGATTACCATGACCTCTCTTCATGGCCCTGATCACAAATGCAGGAAAATGAACTATTACTCACATTCATCTTGTTGTACTTCCCTTTTATTGTTAGTTCCATGTCTGACCCATGATCTACTTTCATTGTTACTTGAAACCAAATCCTTCACCGTAGGAGTTTGGAATGATAATTATTTTATTCTGATTTTACATAAGGAAGTGTGTGTGTGAGTAGGCAGGGCGATTCTATTGGTGATTCCTTTCCAATACTTTGAAATAGACTGTGTCAATCACACATATAACTTACTTACACATTTCTTAACTAGTAAATATGAGATGAAAATGCTTAAGCCCCCGAGCCAGTGACTTAGAATTCCTTTTCACAGGTGTTATTTTCCCACCTCACTACCAGTGACCTCCTTTCCTTTAAAACAAAATGACTTTGATTGATCTACCTGCAGTCACTATTTTAGAATATCTGCTATTGCCCTGACTCTTTTTCACATGACTGCCCATGCAAGAAGCCATGACAAGAAGATTCAAGTAACATCCCTTATTTAAGGCAGAATAAGGTAAGTCCCTGTAATTCCCTTAGATATTAAAATTAAAAGTGTTTGTAAAGAAATGTGACTTTCCTTCTCTACTCGTCTGACTTCCTCCTTTCAAGAAAGCTGGTTATGTTAAAAGGCTTATTTCACAGTTAAAGCACTTAAAAAACAATTTATATGACAAAGAACGAAATTGCTTTTGCACCAGCCTTAATACAATGAACTTGGAAAACTTTACCAGATTTAGATAACAAAGAAAAGAAGTTTAAGGAGTAGCAACAATGAAACAAAGGTATTTTGAGACTAATATAATCTGTATAAAACAAGCTGAATACTTGAAAATAGTTGAGTAGAAAATACAATCAAGGAAATCTATGTGTTAGAGTCACATTTTTAAATACATTTTGTCTTGTTTTACTTAATAGTTCTTTGATCAGAACTGTTTTCCATATTTTCAATATTTATATTGAAGTTTGATATTTTAAAAATATTTTAAAGTAGAAAGGCACTTCAGGAATCAAGAGTTTTATGTACTTGTTTTATAGATAAGAGATTTAAGTGATATGCTCAAAGTCTTACAGCTAAGTGAAACGAGACTGAAAAATGTATTTTGATCCCAAGTTCATCTTGTTTCACGATATTATGCTGCCTTAGTCCTTTAACTTTTGCTCTCCTTAAAAAAAATTAAATTCAGACCTATCCAACAAAAAGATATTGTTGGCACTATTAATGTTCTTGTTTATTTATTTGGGATGAAAGCATTTTAGATATCTGAACAGAAGAAGATTGACGGATGGAGTGTTGAAATAATTAAATCCTGTTTAAATACTGGTATCAGAGGATCATAGAATACTTGAAATTTCCAACACACTCAACTTTTAGTAAATGTGGGCAAGGGAAATGAAGACTGGAATGTAGTAGAGTTTAATCAAGGCTGAAAATATTTATTATTTTACTTGGAGATACTGAGTATTCTAATGTACCACATCTGAATGGAAGATTTTAACAACATGAATAACTATCGCATGTGTAAACTACACCTTTGTAAGTAATGTAACTGTGGCTATAACACTAGGACATCATTCTAGTGAAACTATTCCTAGTAAGCCTATCTTTTGCTCAATATTAATGGGGCAATAAGATACCATCTTATATATATATTACTATGAATTATTCATTTCTCAAAAGTATTCCCAGTAGAAGCAACAAAAGAAGATTGTACTATTTCTGCTTCAGTTTCTTCTTAAAAGGACAAACTTTATTTTTCCCTGTTCAACTCATCATGTCTTAATTTTTTTTTTTTTAGAGATAGGGTCTGTGTTGCCCAGGCTGGCTTTAGGGCAGTGGGTATTCACAGGCATGATCACTGCACACTACAGCCTCAAACTCCTGGAATCAAGAGATCCCCTTGCCTCAGCCTCCCGAGAAGCTGGGAATACCAGGCATGTGAGCCACTGTGCCTGGTCCATCAAGCCTTTATTATTAACCTATAATGTTATCAGCCACTCTTCTGGGGTCTAGGAGTATAAATATGAGTAATAACTATAGAAAGCTTAACATTTCAACTAAAATAAGTAGAGGCAAACACAGGCTAAGGATACTTTGATATATAAATTGTATCCAGTGACTCACTAGAGAGGACTGAGTTACACATACCATATCTTGTTCCTCTGAAAGGGAGATGTGGTTGTTAAGATCAAGAAAAGAGGTGTTTGTAAGAATATTTTTTTAAAAAAACAAAAATAACTCTGATGCCAGTCATACCTTAAATTTTCTTTTCTTTTCTTTTTTTTTGAGATGGATTTTCCCTCGTTTCCCAGGCTGCAATGTCACAATCTTGGCTCACTGTAATCTCCGCCTTCCTGGTTCAAGTGATTCTCCTGCCTCAGCCTCCCAAGTAGCTGGGACTACAGGCACACCTCACCATGCCTGACTAATTTTTCTATTTTTAATAGAGACAGGGTTTCACTATGTTGGCCAGGCTAGTCTTGAACTCCTACCTCAGGTGATCCACCCGCCTTAGCCTCCCAAAGTGCTGGGATTACAGGCGTGAGCCACTGCACCAGCCATAACTTAAATTTTTATCAGCATTAAGGATTAGATAACAGCTGTCTAAGTAGCACACAGAATTGGGTAAAAACATTGCCCGAGGCAAAGTAAATTTCACTTCAAATCTGTTTTGTGGTATGCTTGCTTATTCATCAAATAAATTTTAGCATGGTATCATTCCTTATCAACTGTGAGTACAGATGATATACTTACAGTTTTAAAAGAAAACAAAAGACAAGGAATAAATTAAATATATGCAAAATACTACATTTTGAAGATAACAAGAGAAGATGAACAAAATCCTTGGGACTTGTAACCAAAGTATATAAACACATTTTTTCCTAATTCTTAAATTGGGCACTTGTAATATGGATGGTTAAAAACAAGCAATGACAATTATTCTCTTCTTTACCTAAGACAATCATGAGAAAAATGTTCTTTGATTTATGATGGTTTCATAAGAAAACTTAAGCTTCATTTAGTCATTCAACAATATGAGTTCAGCTTTTTTTGTCAATTAAAATAATTAAGGAATCATAGCATCACTTATATACATACATCTAGAAGAAAAAGTTTCTTCTTACTAAAAATGCTTGGAAAAGATTCCTAATATGTTTAAATACCCAAATAATTTGTTACTAGTATTTCACAAGGAATATCATTTTATTACTGTAATCACAAAATCATAAGTTCTGTACAGGAATGTATAAGTGAACATTTATCAGTGCATTGATAATTCACTTCATAAAGAGGGTAAACATACTACAGAATATATTGTAAAGAAAAAAACTGTAATATTTTCTGGTCTTGCAGTGCACTTTTTAGTGCAAGTATTTGAGACACAATAGTGTTCAATTCAGCAAAGTATTGCAGAATGTCATGCCACAGTCCACTTATTTCAAAGAGGGTCAGGACATGCAGCTTGTAATAAAATGTCAGAGTGTGTGTGTGTATGTGTGTATGTGTGTGTGTGTGTATATAAAACCACGTGTAATTCATAAAATATATAGTGGTTTATTTAGATGGTTTTAAACGATTTCACTGTGGAATTCAGCATAACTGGAACAACATCCAAGGTCTTCTTAACAGCAACAGTCTTATTGCTAGGCAATGGCTTTGGCTTCAGGTAGGAATGCTTCCCAGTATTTTATCAGCTGTGAATGATAATTAAAATATGTTATTATCTTTTTGCCATTTATATGCATATAACCTGTACAACATTAAAAAAAAAATTCTATATAGGCCAGGCAGGGTGGCTCACATCTGTAATCCCAGCACTTTGGGAGGCCAAGGTAGGTGGGTCACCTGAGGTCAGGAGTTCGAGACCAGCCTGGCCAACATGGTGAAACCCCGTTTCTACTAAAAATACAAAAATTAGCTGGGCAATGTGACATGTGCCTGTAATCCCAGCTACTTGGGAGGCTGAGATAGGAGAATCACTTGAACCCAGGAGGTGGAGGTTGCAGTGAGCCAAGATCACACCATTGTACTCCAGCCTGGACAACAGAGCAAGATTCCATCTCAAAAAAACCCAAACGAAAACAAAAACAAAATTAAAACTATGCAAATCACTAACTAACAATAACTAATATTTACTAATGTCTGTTTTTTTTTTTTTTTTTTTTTCAGACAGAGTTTCATTCTTGTTGCCCAGGCTAGAGTGTAATGATGTGATGGAGGCTCACTGCAACCTCCAATTCCTGGGTTCAGGCAATTCTCCTGCCTCAGCTTCCTAAGTAGCTAGGATTACAGGTACGTGCCACCATGCCCAGCTATGTTTTTTGTATTTTTAGTAGAGACGAGGTTTCTCTATGTTGGCCAGGCTGGTCTCGAACTCCTGACCTCAGGCGATCCACCCACCTCGGCCTCCCAAAGTACTGGGATTACAGGCGTGAGCTGCTGCGCCCTGCCAATGTCTGGTTCTTAAAGAAATCATTTTAACTTCCTTATCTGAAGTCCGTCAATATATTTCATAAATTATTTAAAACATTAATTACTCCTAATTTTAGTTTTTGATGTAAAATAATAGAATTTTTTAAATGTACAATTTTTTGATTTATGCAAAATTTTACATAGAACAGTGTTACCATATATTAAAGATTACCTTACATAATACAACTACAATGACCTTTTCCAGCATAAAGTGATAAGATTTCCCAAATCAGAGCATATGGACATTTTATGTTGTTGCTAGACAAGAAGAATGGGATACAAGGAAGAAGAAAAGAAAATACTGAACAAGAAAAAAAAAAAGGATTGGATAGAATTAGCTGTCAGTCTTCCTTGAGTAGTCCAGAGAACAGACTGAAATATAAACTGAAGTCATGTTTAAAACAATTCCTTTAAAAAATAAGCTTAATGACTTATTTTCATATTTAAAAAAATCTAACTTTATGAACTGTTTAAATAAAAACTAAAGACAATTTGAAGACATCTTACCGCTTAATTCAAAAACAACCTATTATATTTTACACAAACAACATTCTAGATCCATATATTTTAAAACGAGAAGAAAAAATCTTTCTATTCAAGATATTAAATTACTTGACCTGTTACTCCAATTTTACATTAAAATATATAGAAACATTTTCTGCGATTATCTTTTTATTTAACTTACCATTAAAATTCATGCTAAAGGAGACAGATGCCACTTGCAGCATTCAACCACCAACTACCCCAAACAAAGTAAAGCAAAAATGAAAACAGTACATTTTTTTTTAATTCTGAAAAAGTATTTAAGTTCTATCTGTTATGGAAGAGAAGAACTTACTACTGAGAATATACTCAAACAGGTCTGACCAACAAGGGAACAAACTAGAAAGACAGTGAAAGGGGAAAGTTGCCCATGAGGTTTCTGATGGCCTAAAATTGGGAAAACTGTATCTCTGCCTCAGCATTTAGCAGAGGCAAAAAGAACCTAAGACAGTTTCCAATTAATTTATCCTTTTTTCCTTTATCATCACTGGCTTTCTGTCTTCCATTTCTTATTCTTGAGTTTAAAAGCCCAGTTCATTAATCATCTTTTTAAAATAAAAAAATATAGCAAAAACAAATTCTAGAAGTTTAAGTTACACACAAAAATGGCTTACCTGCTGTTGTGTTTGTACTAATGATTCTAAGTACTTGATGATAACAGTTTTAAAATCCTTCACTCGTTCTTTCTGTTGAAGTACATTTTAAAAAGTCCGTTAGTAGAAAACTAAATTTAATTTTACCACAAAATTGCAGCAAAATGTGACCATGTTGTTAAGAAAAATGGAAAATTATTATACATGCCTCAAATCTTCCCACTTCTTTTCGAATCGTTTTAGAGATCTGTTCAAAATCTCTTTCCCCTTGTTGCACTTTCGCCTCCCACTAATAAAAACAAACAAATATTTTATGCTTAGCTCAAAAAAAAGTACAGTACTGTCATGACCACTTACTTTATTTAATCACAATGCCTCAAAAACCTGAGAAAGCTCAACATTGGCAAAGCACAATTTAGCATCAACAGAAATAATATTTAACTTTCCACTAATAGAAATGCATGTTAGCTTAATTTCCATTACTATTCCGCAGCCAAATTTACCCAATATTAAGATATTTCGATACTGTACTTAATAAACTACAATGTCCAAAGCTTAATTAAATATAACTAAGAGGAAAGATTTTGGGCATAAAATGCACCACAAAATAATGATCAGCGTGATTTTCTTAATTACTTTTTTGTATCAGTAATTATTTCAGAATATATCACTACTGTTAAATCCAAGGATATGTGTTCATCAAAATTTATATGCTGATGGAAATACTTTAAATTAGGAAAATTACGTAACAAACATTTAAAAAACGTTTTTGTAATGGTATAATGACCAGAATAAAAAAAAATGTGGAATTATGGTGTACTGAAGACCATCAATAAATATTAAATTCAGTACAGAAACAACAAAATGTTGTGATTAGTGAACAATGGAACAACTAAAATAACTGAAGATTTAAGTAATGAAATGGTATTTTTCCCACTATGTAACCAAAACACTGACTGGTACATACTCTTCAAAGAGCAGGTACATTTATTTTTAGTAATATAAAGGTTGTCCTACCTCTTCAATTTCCTTATTGAAGCATGATAAGAAAAGTGTATAAATTATAATAAACTTATAAAAATTCACTAAAATACCATATATAATACATATATATGGGGGATAATGTTGCCTGGACAGCTAAATGTGGGATAAATCTAGCTCCAAAACCATTTTTAGATACAAAATAATTATCTGAATTATTAACCATCTAATAAGAATTGTGTAATCATTAATGCAAAGGTTAATTTTAGGTGTTTTCCTGTATGTTTCTTTATCAATTCCATAATCACATGGAGGTAGTAACAAAGGGCTCTGGAGATTTTAATAATGATCAAAATTTTAAAGTAATTCTAACACAGTTCATAAAAATATGCAAAAATAGCCACATGTTGAATGGTTTAGAAAAAAATTATGAAAAATTATGTATATATGAATGACTCATGAAAAACTTAAGTAAAGAGATAAAGCATTTAGTAATCACCTCTCTTATTTCATTTTTAGCTTGCTGTATTTTATCTGGTTTGTTAGCAATCATTATTTTTGCCTCAGCTTCACGTTTTTTGAGCAAAGTAATTTGAGCATCTTCCCATTTCTGCCAGCACTTCATTCGATGGTCAAACACACCCTATAAATGAATGACATAATGCTACTAAGTAAGAGTAACATTTAAAATACTTTCATAACACTAGAAGTGTTGTAATACAGAAAGCAATAAAACCAAGTATTTAAGTGCTACTTTAAGATACTGAAAATAAGCATGCCAATATCAAAGAAAATAATTTCCATATTCACTTGCTTAAAACAAAAAACCCTGTCACTGGATGAAACATGAACACTCAGAATAAAAAACTACATTCAAAATCCATTTCATCACTAGCCTTTAGGCTTTAAATGTGGTTTAATAAGATTTCTAACAGAGTTTTATGCTTTGAAGAAAGATGTCTTTAACAGGAAAATGCTAGTGTCATATCTACACTGGAAATTTTCCTGCTAAATAATATTAGAAGCATATTAAGTGTTAGAAACATGTCTGAAACTGAAAAGACAAAATGGGAAACACTCATAAGATATGCGGTAGAAAAAATTACCATAGCAAATAAAAGGAAAAGCAATCAAAAAGTAAAATATATCAAAATGAAAAAAAGACAGTCTTACACAAGATGAAAAGGGCAAAAGATGAAAAGATGACTATATATATTATGTATACACTGCAGAACTAAAGAAGAAATAGACAAAAAGATCTTAATACAGTAAGTCAACAAAATCCATGACTTTTCTCAAGGAGTCTGGCAGAGGAAGAGCAAGTGAATAGAGAAAAGAAATGAAATATGGCCAAATTAGAGTAACTAACAGTCTCATGAGAAAACATCATAGATAGGATGGGAGAACCCACTAAGAATCCCCTTTCTGGCTTGATGAGAAATATTACAATTATTTTAGTAATTACTAATCAAACATTCATGAAATAAACAATAAATTGGGTGAATCAGGAAGCACTAAACTAGAGTTATTTTAATTTATTCCAAATAAAAAAGTTTTTGAACCATGACGCAGTAAAAACTACATGTTCCTATAGAGATATGCTGAAGAGAAAAATATGCAGATAGCGTATTTTTTTTAAAAGCAGGCTTTGGAGAAAATCGAATTTTGTTCTACTATTAATTTTGTCACTGTATGACCACGGGTAAATTCACTGAACTTCTCCAAGCTATAATGCTCCCAAATATAAGAGGTGGGAAATGATGTCTACATTTATGGATTAGAAATATGACGAGGATATTATTGCATAGTGACTTAACCTAGTGTATGCTTAATAATCAGTAAGTACAGCTATTGTGGATTACTTCTAAATAACATACACATGTAAATGTAGTTATAAACTGTTAAGCTTTCTATTAAAAGTACAAAGGATAGCTCAGTATTATGGAAAAAATGTATAATTAAACAGCATTTATATCATATGACAATTTTTAAAAATGTGATAACATTAAAAAATCCAGTCAACCAGAAACCAAAGTATTTTTCCTATTTTTCCAAAAGAATTCTTACAGGTTGCAAACATTTTAAATTAACCAGGACAACAGATATCCAGGGCAAACTGGCAAGTCAAAGCACTGTACCTTTGGGTATTTAAATCCACTTGGCTATATTTAATTTATCTCAGATAATTTCTCCTTATATTAGTAAGTAAATCTTACCGTCCCCTTTGTCTGCTTTTCTTTTTTATTTTTAATTTATTTTTATTTTTATTTTATTTTATTTTATTTTTTTGAGATGGAGTTTCACTCATGTTACCCAGGCTGGAGTACAATGGCGCGATCTCGGCTCACCGCAACCTCCGCCTCCTGGGTTCAGGCAATTCTCCTGCCTCAGCCTCCTGAGTAGCTGGGATTACAGGCAAGCACCACCATGCCCAGCTAATGTTTTGTATTTTTAGTAGAGACGGGGTTTCACCATGTTGACCAGGATGGTCTCGATCTCTTGACCTCGTGATCCACCTGCCTTGGCCTCCCAAAGTGCTGGGATTACAGGCTTGAGCCACCGCGCCTGGCCTATTTTTTATTTTTTTAAAGATGGGGTTTCACCACGATGGCTAGGCTGGTCTTGAACTCGTGACCTCAGGTGATCCACCCACCTTGACCTCCCAAAGTGCTAGGACTACAGGCATGAGCCACCACTCTGCTTTTCTTGTATTTAAAAGACCACATTTTTTCCTAAAACATCCCTTGTTATAAATTAACTTTGCTTTAGTCTAATTTAAGCTAAAATCCAAAAGTAACACATCTAACACAAACAAATTGAGAAAAAGTAACTATCATTTAAAACAGCAGTGTTCAATCCTTTGGCTTCCCTGGGCCACACTAGAAGAATTGTCTTGGATCAAGCATAAAATATACTAACAACAGGTGATGAGCTTCAAAAAAAGAAAAGAAAAGAAAAAGAAAAAGAAAAAGAAAAAAAATTATATATATATATATATATATATGTATATGAAATCTCATGACATTTTAATAAAGTTTATGAATTTGTGTTGGGCTGCATTCAAAGCTGTCCTGGGCTGCATATTGAACAGGCTTGATTTGAGACAAACAATCCCTCTCACCTCTGACACACACACACACACACACACACACACACACACTCCCATGCACACAACCAACCAAAAAGTAATTTAAGATTTTAGGCCTAGTCTTGCTTTAGGGGAACAGGGCCATATCTGTTCATTTCTGAATTCCTCTGTTCAATAACAATTTAATTCCTTAAATTATGTACCAATACTGAGAAAAAGCTAAAGAACATGCCCTTTAATTCAATATTTGCTTACATTCTTAATGTATATCAACTGGCTTTTTCATTGACATGCTAAATCTAAACTAATTTGGTCCCAGTCCAATTTATTATCTAATAGTATTCCAGAACCAGGACATGTTTATTGTGGTACAGATGCAGGAGCTATGATAAAGGTAAGAATACTAAAGTCAGGTTATTTCAGGAAAAAAAAAATCTTAAATATACAAATTAACTTTTTCCTCGTTTTCTTACCTTTGTAACAAAATAATAGAAAATAAAAGAAAAAAAGAACCAGCACCACAGTCAAACTTCTAACAATTAATTAAATCAATTAAATTGTAGCAATGCCCCTTGTACGCCAAGATACTAATCTACTCTAGTAGAATCATTTGAAGAGGGATAAGTTTACACTGATCATCCAAGTAGGACCGCCATTCCCCTGCCAATTTATGGCATACATTTGTATGCAAGTTGGTCTAGGTTAGGTTAGATTGCAGATGTCTAATAATTTTCTTGGCCCATTAGGAAATTTGATGCTACAATTTTAATTGTTACCATATTCTAATTCAGTTAATCCAAAAATATGCTGTCTAGCTTCACGGAGCTCTGAAGAGGTGCTGAGTATTTACAGCCAAACAATAAAGCATTTAAACCCTTTGGGGAGCCTATCTTTTAGTTAAAAAAATTTTTTTTAATATGTTTTATAAATTGGAATCCCCTACAAAAATTACTTATAAAGAGTTCTAGTGCTAAAAACATTAAGAACCATTGCCCTCAATCTCTGACCCTATTTTAGTGGTTCACAGAAGCCCAATACATGACAATGCTTATAAGGATACAGCCAAAACCTGTAGTTCTAAATTTCAGAGGCCATGTACTGTACAAAAGAGGAAAACAGGAGTTTCCTGACACAAAGCCAGGCTTAGGCAATATTTTGAAATGGGTAAAATTTAGCTTTTTCTTTTGTGTTCTAATTCCTGATGTTCTCTGCTCCCAACAATGGCTCTATATTAATCCCCAAAGTACTCTTAACTTGCAGAATTAACATCAGAAAAGTACTCTCGATAGGGATGAAACTAAAGGTTATTAATATTAAGCAGCTATTAGATAATAAGCAAACAAAAATGGGGCAAAGTTCTTGAACAGTTCATTCACACAAAAAGAAATGTAAATGGCTTATCATTTGTAAAGATACCTTGATTCACACTAAGTAAATGATAGCTTATCAAAAAAAAAAAAAAAAAAAAAAAACCCTTCATTCTTGGGTGGTAGTAAAAAGAAACACGTACTGGTTAAGGCACAAAGTAAAATCTCTTTGAACAGTAATTTGGCAATACTGAAATTTAAAATGCTTATAACCTTTGGTCAGCAATTCTACTTATAGAATCTTTATGACCAAAGAGTTATCAAAATACTTGATTTTTTTAAAGACTAGACTATAATTCAAGGAACATCTAAATGTTATATGATGGAATGCTATACAACCATTAAAAAGACATCTACCTATGTTGATAGGGAGACTGCTCTAATAAGTGGAGTGGGTGAAAAGGCAGACAAAGAACAGTACACACGGTGTATTCCTTTTTGAGAAAGGAAGGGAGGGAGAAAAAGGGGACGGAAGGAATAAACAGACAGAAAGAGGGAGAGAATTAGTTTTAGGTATATGTATAGCTAATTCTGTAAAGACACACAAGAATCTAATAGTTTATGACTGAGGTCAGAGACTACAGGTCTTAGTTCTGCAGGGAAATTTACCTTGCTGGGCTATTAAAACTGTCATGTACATGCATTATTTTTTCAAATACAAATAAATTAGTTTAAAACAGAGAATAAGACAAAAATGAAAACCATAAAAATTACCTGTCACCTCCTTCCATAATATTTCAATTACTTTGTACAGCTGATCTAAGCTACATTTCAGTAGAAACCAATCTTAAAGAGCTTAATTTACCTAAAGGCAACTTGACCACAGCTCTTTAACTCTTTCAGTCAATGAATCATTAATTCAGTATTTCCCCAAATGTGTTCCATGTATGTGAATAGATATTTAGTGGAAAATAATTCTTGTTCATATGAATTTAGAAGCCTCTGGATTAAAATTTATTTTCTTTTTCATTCTTAGCTAGTTCTGAGCTTTTAAAAAGCATTCTGAATCTCGCAAACAGGGATACTGTATATATATGTAACTTCCCAAACTTAGCTAACTGTAATCCATCTTTTGGTGCCAGTTTTCTATAGAAAATATTTTGGAAAACATTAATATAACTATAATTTCATGAAATATAATAATATAGCAAAAAGACTTAGGGTATGAGGAAAGCTGTTTCTGAGGGATCAGTATCCATTACACAGGCAGGCCATCAGTGCCAGGGTGTCTCTTTCCAGGCTAGCTCTTATTACCAGGTACGTACTCTTACAGACACTGCCCAACCTCCCTTTTTTGAGTCACTGGTTTTTTGGAAGTGTCACACTTTTTTATAACAGTTCTCATGATATTGGGAGCTCTGGTAAGAAGTGAGAGTAGGTGGAACAAGTCTGTAAACTAGATCTCCATACATCACAAGCTGCCTGTATATAATGAAGTATACTCTGACAACTGCTATCTACATTAACATTTCTAAATATTGAAAAATTACCAACAGCACAAGGAATAACATTTAGAACATTAAATACAAGTAAAATTGGCAATTTTATCAAATAAGTAAAAGCACCATTCCAAATTGCTAAGAATGCTCTAGTAATAAATGTCACCAGTAGCTTGAGAACAGAACCATCAATAAATATGCTCATCGCAGATGAGTACTAACTTGATCACAGACTTTAGCTGAAAAAATTTTGCATAAGAAAGAAACAAGGTCTCATTAACTTTCTAGATGTTTAAATTCAAGGTAAAAGGTAAATACCCAGTACCCCCCCAAACCCCATAACTAATATCTATAACAATAATTCCAAGATCTTAAAGTATCTTCTGAAACATGATATATGGAGTAATGTTCAGTTTAGATTAACTGTCTGAATACTGGAGATATCTGTAGAATACTAATTTTTATTAACTGGATTACTTCCTCAACCATTCAGAAATTGGACTATTATATTTAAGTATTACCATTCAATAACACAATTTATGATCTAATAGAGTCCCATCTCATCTATAAACACATGGCGACTACACATTTGAGTATACGAACAGAAAGTCTTATTACATCCAAATTCATGATAAAGTCCCAGTTAAACATATTCACTGCTATGATCATTTCTGGTTTTATCCCACTCATTACACAGTCAGCTTTACTAACAATTATAGAGTCCAGTGAGTACTCTCAGTTAGTGTTAGAATGAGCAAATGAATGCTATCAGTTAGTTACAAACTTGTATAAGCAAATACATGAGTAAATGTGTAATGTTTTCTATCTTATCTATCATTCCTTAGACCTGTTAAAAACATTAATTCTGGCCGGGCGCGGTGGCTCACGCCTGTAATCCCAGCACTTTGGGAGGCCGAGGCGGGTGGATCACGAGGTCAAGAGATCGAGACCATCCTGGTCAACATGGTGAAACCCCGTCTCTACTAAAAATACAAAAAACATTAGCTGGGCATGGTGGCGCGTGCCTGTAATCCCAGCTACTCAGGAGGTTGAGGCAGGAGAATTGCCTGAACCCAGGAGGCGGAGGTTGCGGTGAGCTGAGATCGCGCCATTGCACTCCAGCCTGGGTAGCAAGAGTGAAACTCCGTCTCAAAAAAAAAAAAAAAAACAAAAAACAAAAAAAAAAACATTAATTCTGTCTATTGTACTGTGCAAGTCATAGGGAGGAAAGTATTAGGTTATGGATACTTATCTTGAAGCCATTTTATTTGTGCTAGTGTATGAGGAGTTTAGACAAATACATAACTAATAGGAAACAAAATGCTTTTTACAGCACATGAGAAAAGTGAGAAGAATGTAAGAAAGGGCTTACTTTCACTGCAGCAATAAGACGAATGTAGTCACTAAGTAGTTCTGAGAACATATAAAAGTCAGCAAAAGCTTGTTCTTGATGTAACTGGTCTATCTTCTCTTCAACCTCTGCAAGCTGAGACAAAGCTCTAGATAAAGCAGTATGATCCTCAGAATTACCTAACATGGCAGCACTTTTAGCAAAGGCAGCTGTGTTGGCTGAAAGTTCTGAAATAAAAAAAGTTTGTACTTTTAGTGTTCATTAGTAAAATCTAAAAATATTGTATTGATTTTTCAACTTTTCTGTAAATTTTACCTATTCACAAGTTGCTCAAATAATATTATAAATTAATTAACATGAAAAAATTAGACATTAAAATGCCTCAGGCATAAATGCCAAGTGCTCCGAGATCTACTGAAAACTAAGACAAATCACTGCTTATTTTCCAAGCGGATGAACTATGTTTAAATCATTTAATATAAAAATCTGCCTCTTCTTTATTCTCCCACAGTGTTTGATGTTTCTCTGTTCATTCTGAAAAATGAAATTTATTTTTAATATGAGAAGCACTGGCAATACTCACAATTGATTTATACATTTCTGGCCTTTAAACATTTGTCATTGAAAATAATGTCTGGGCCGGGCGCGGTGGCTCAAGCCTGTAATCCCAGCACTTTGGGAGGCCGAGGCGGGTGGATCACAAGGTCAAGAGATCGAGACCATCGCGGTCAATATGGTGAAACCCCGTCTCTACTAAAAAAACAAAAAATTAGCTGGGCATGGTGGCGTGTGCCTGTAATCCCAGCTACTCAGGAGGCCGAGGCAGGAGAATTGCCTGAACCCAGAAGACGGAGGTTGCGGTGAGCCGAGATTGCGCCATTGCCCTCCAGCCTGGGAAAAAAGAGAAAAACTCTTTCTCAAAAAAAAAAAAAAAAAAAAAAAAAAAAAATAATGTCTGTAATTTTTAATGAGAATATTATTTAGCTAATGGAACAAAGGTAAAATTATACATACAATTAACATAAATTTTATTGTCTTTTTCCTTTGCTGTATAACAATGCTCAGTAAAATATTAGAATTTCTAAAAAGATTTAGAATGTAATCATTTCAGATATTTCAAATAAAGAAAAGATGTTTACAGGCTGAATACTATCCACAGCCAACAATTACGTTGCCTGGAAATTGCTCTGTTGCTCTACGTTATGCAAAGTTCTCCAAAAGAGCCATAAAGCCCATTCCTGAAGAGATATATAATTCAAATGGCAAAAGCTGTTATAAACTACTTTCAATAAGTGTGTTAGTAAGTTTCTATAATTATCTTAATAAAATGTATCACTAGTAATGTTATATAGTATTTACTTATTAAATATTATGGACAATTGATACTTAAATCGCTGGATTCTTTAAAAATAAACCAAAAAACTATAATTTCACTATGGATTAAAATATTACAACTCAAATTTTCTATAAATTTTTAGAAAAACCAAATATTGTGGTTCAAAAATAAAGAAAATACTTCAAAGGATTTTACAGAAAGTAAAGGCACAAAACAAATACTTTCCAAAAAATTTTCAAAAAGCAATTTTCAAATCTCAAGTATTTTTATTACAATAAATTGCTAATTGATAAGATACCTTCATCCATTTAACTGTAACTTTACTTAACAAAGAGTTAATCAAGTGACCAAGTTTTAATCCAAAATTCAAATATAGTTTTCTTTGTTCTTGTTAGCTCACATCTGTACCAGTTAACAAATAGTTTTACAGGCTCATTATTTTTCTACTGCTAGATATTAGATCTAAATAGAACAAAAACTTTAAATAATAAAGTTGAAATAGAAAACATTCTCTTAAATGACTGTTTTCTCTCTTCTGCAATAACTTCAGAATATTTACATAAAATTTAAATAAAATATTTTAATTACTTTTATGGTGCTAACTACATAAGTAACAAGGCAAACAAACCTTTTCTATGACAGACCAAGGCTTCAACACTGGCATGAAGTTTCCTAAGTTGCTGATCCAGATTCTCAAATTGCTGCTGCTTTTCTTCAAACCACTAAGAAAAAAATGAAAAATGGAGCTAATTTAGAAAGAACAAACCATTGTAAATTAGGTTACCAATAGCAAGCTACATTCCTTGTTTTAAAGCAACAAATTAACCATGTATAACCATGGTGGCCAACTGATGTGGCTGAGAACTGAACTCAATAAGCAAATTAATATCCTATTTTCCACTTGTACAGCTTTAAAATGCAATTGTTGGGCTCATTAATTCATCTCATTATTCAAGTCGAAAAATCAGCTCTTACTGCATCCGATTCATTCATCTTGATTGTCATTTTGTTGACAGCGTCGGCAGCCTTGTTCACCATCCTCAATATTCCTGCTCCACTCAGAGCCTGTGTATTAACTGCTCTAGGCAGCTGGAATTGAATGACAAATAAGGGCAAACAAACTGGTTAAAAGCCTGGAGGTTTAACTGGGCACAAAAGTGATCCCCCTTTCTCTCCCCGCCACACACAAAAAATTTTAAAAAAGGAGGTTGTATTTTCTTCACTCTCCTACATTTCAATAGTGAGATCTAATTTCTCAAATATAGTACTTGTACATTCTCAAAGGAAAACTTAAAAAATAGACTTTCCATTTGCTTTTCTTCTGCACGTTTACATTTAGATGGAACAAACACCGTTTGTCAAAATATATTAAGAAATTGCCAGGTACCCTAACACTGGCCACCTGTTTGCTAACATAAATAAACTGTTTATAAGGAAAGAAGAAAGTCTTGAGAAAAATCTCCTTATGCTCAGTTAGCATTGTGTGATTTTGAGTTTTTAAAACATTCTGCAACTCAGTAAATTAAAAAAAAAAAACAAAAAAAAACTCAAACTACAACTCAAATTGTTCTTAGAAGCCCAAAATATACCAAACATTTCAAGTATAAAGAGCATCATGGTTATGATTTAGGCTCTTTCAAGTCACAAATTTGCATTTCAAAACCTTAAAAGGGATATCAGAATGAAGACAAGCAAATACACATTCAACATTCTTTCTCTAAAATGAAGTCTGAATAAACTTATTTCAACATGATGCCTGAGGAACAACTTAGGGCATTCAGAGTACTTGTAAACCATCCCCTTAAATCTTGTTTTAAGTGTTCAAGAAAGGGACTAACCATCCTATAAATATCAAAGCAAAGATTTTTTGCTACTAATTTAGCAAGATAATTAAAGGACTAAACAAAAAACAAACAAAAAAAACCACTGCTTTATTCCACCTATTGCTCCAATTATTTATTATATATGTAATCATGTAAAGTATTACAATGACAAATAAAGAGAACATTTATATATAAAAATTTAATATAGAAATAATACCTCTGAACTTTCCAAGAACTGCCTTAAATCAGGATCCTGTAGTAAAGTTGGATGTTTTACTGTTCTTTGAAGATACCTAGATTTAAGAGTAAAATTGCTCCTTTATCAGTAGCATCTTGAATTAGATTTTAACGAAGTGATAAAAAATAGAAATACTAGGAAAAAAGATGTCCTCAGCACCTCCTATTAGTCTATTCTCACTGTAATTACCTAGAATCTTACAGCAACTTAATAATTATAAAGGTTTTTGTTCATCTTTTGAAAATTGATATATCATGCAGTTTCCATAATTATGTAAAAAGAGAAATGGCAGGAGGTGGGAGTGGTGAGAGCAAACTTCTCACTGCAAAGTATTAATGTTGTAAAGGAGTATGTGAGTTTGTTGAATAATTTTATCTTTCTGTGGAGTCATTATGTTCTCAACTATAACTTTAGAGTTCTAAGAAACATACTAATATCACTATATATATTACACTCAACCAAGTTTTAAATTGCTATTATCACCAAAATAGGGAAGAGAGTCTACCAATATTTTTTTGCATGTCGGCATATTTAAATGATCACAATTAGTTTTGGTTCTCACTTGACAGGAACTAAATTTTCTTCAATATTTTCCCCATATCCCTTCAAAGGTATTTATTCAATATTTCTAAGGTTTTGTTATTTTTGGTGTCTTATTTAAATATGATACCATATAAAATCAAATAAATGAATACCACATAAAATGAATAAAAATGAAAAAGTTAGAAACACCACTATGAAATCAATTTCCCTTTATTAGAAAAGCTCAAATGTGCCTGTCAACCATAATAAATTACTAATCATGATTTCATAAAAATAAATAAGGTCAACTATTTGTGATTATCAATTAATCAACTAATCCTATTAAAAACAACTGTTATCTTCCCCCAGGTTAATAAATACATGCAGTAATATTTCAGCTATAATATTTTTACCTCACAATAACATTTATTTCTTTAGAATAAATGTAGTCAGTAATTTATTCTACCTTATTATAAGATTATAAAATATGCCTAAAATTAATGTTCCCAAAAAAGTGATAACCTTCTCTAACAGCAAATTCTATACATTGATCAAAATGACTATTTTATCAGTATTAAAATGTTAACTTCTGTTTTTATAAATTTAAATAAAATATACAGCATACTAAACTTCATTTTATGTCAGTAGTCCACATAAGAAATCATTATACTAGAACCGGAGCATTTAACAGATATCTGCAATACAATCTATGCTGTGGTTTAAAAAGATATTTGCTGCCTATATTATGAAGCCAAAAAAGGGATATAGCAAGAACACTAATCGTGCAGGTTTGAGAAATACTGGTGTTTTCCCACTTGAATTTGACTTACAATTTTAACACTGAAGTTTTCTCACAATATATGTTTTTTAGTTGTTTAGACTAAGTACTACTTGAAGGCAGTTTAAGTTGCTAATCTCAATGCATACAACAGCTGGATAATAGCAGGCCTTCAGATATTTGTAAAAATCAAACAAACAAAAATCCAAGAAAGACAAAACATCTAGTACCTAACCTCTAAGAAATATTCCAATATTTCAAACCTAAGTGGAAATATCTTGTATCATTTATACTCTAAAACAGCTTTCCAAAGTGAGTTCTGTAGAATACTGGTCTCACTTAATATTCATGAATAAGACGGATTCCATCATCAAGAAAGTTTGAAATATATATATTCCTGTCTTTAAAATTCATATCAAACCGCCTTTTATTAAGTGTTATGAGAACTCCTACAGAAAATAACCCTAGTTTAACTTTGTTAAACCCTATGTTAACAAAACTCAATTGACTATAGATTTTTTTCATTCTACTACATATTAGCATTCTGAAGAATCAATTTTGAAAATGATATTCCAGAAAAAGGACATAAAACTTTCCTTCTTAAGGGCAACATGAAATAAAGCACAACTGAAATATATATACATATATTTTTTAGTTTACACATGTCTCATATATAAGCTTATATGCCTTTACAAATATAAGGTTATATAATGTTGAAAGAAAAGAAACATAAAATGGATTTTAAAACAGTATTTATAAACATACACCAATTCAGAATTAAGACCAGAGATGGTTGTAATATAAAGGAAAGACACAGAATAAAAAGGGAAAATGAGAGTAAGAAGAAGATAGGAAAAGAGGTATGGAGAGAAACTGAAACACTGAAAAAAGAAATGAAAAACAAAGAAATTGATCAATATCACACCCAGTAAGAGATGGTGAAAGCAACAGAGTTACAAATATTTATCTTGCTTAAAATAAAACACAAGTGCACATAGTGGGAGAATAAAAAGGTAGAAACAGCCTGGGTCTTGGATGACACTGACTTTATTCAACAAATGCTGAGTTCTTACTACCTATTAAGTACTGTATTGAGTACAATACTTGGAATATATCAGCAAGCAAAAGAGACTGTTTCCTTCCGTGGTGAAGCTTACATTTAAGTACAAGATAGACAATAATCTATAAACATACATATTATAAAGTAGGTGACAAGGTGGTGGCAAAAGCTATGGGAAAAAAAGACAGAACAATGGGGTAAATGGAACCAAGTATTTAAGATGCGGTTGGTGGCAATATAAATATAACAGGTCAGAAGGAAGCCAATCGTTGGAATAGGCTTCACTTGAAAGGTGATATTTGAACACTTGAACTTGAACAAGGAATGAGTTAGCCAAGTAGATACCTAGGAGCAAAGCATTCTAGGTAGAGGGAGCAGGTAGTCGAAAAGACTGTAAGGTAGGAAAATGCCGGGGTGTTTGAGAAGCAGCCAAAAGGTTAGTTTGGCCTAAAGCAGAGTGAGTGATCAAGGAAGATATGAGATTGAATGGGTCACACAGTGAGTAGCGCAGGTTATATAGAGTCTTGTAGTCCATTATAAGGACTCTAGCTTTTATTGAGTAAAATGGGGGAATAGGGTTGGGGTGGGGAGGGGTTAATATGATCTGATTTATATTTTAGAATGACTACTGTAAGTTCTATATTAAATTAGAAGAGCCAAGAATGGAAGCAGAGACAAGAATTAGGAGGCTACTGCAGTTAATTAACACCTTTGGACTAAAAGTCAGTAGAATGGTAAGAAAAGGTTGTATTATCAGACATCAGAAAGAAGCAACAGAATTTCCTGATGAATTAGATATTCCTGAATTAGCTAATCGTTGCCTACTCTAAACTCTTTGATGTGAAAGAGTGAATTAGTTAATCTAAATTAACTGTTTAGGCTAGATGGGTTTTTAAATGCTTGAAATGAACACAATCCTGACACACTTAAACTTTGTTTATTTATTTGAGATGGAGTCTTGCTCTGTTGCCCAGGCCGGAGTGCAGTGGCAAAATCTTGGCTCACTGCAACCTCCATCCCTGAGGTTCAAGCAATTCTTCTGCCTTAGCCTCATAAGTAGCTGGGATTACAGGTCTGTGCCATTACGCCTGGCTAATGTTTTTTGTAGTTTTAGTAGAGTCGAGGTTTCACCATGTTGGTCAGGCTAGTCTTGAACTGCTGACCTCATGATCTACCTGCATCGGCCTCCCAAAGTCCTAGGGTTACAGGCATAAGCCACCGTGTCTGAGACGGAGTCTCACTCTGTTGCCAAACTGGAGTGCAGTGGCGCTATCTCAGCTCACTGCAACCTCTGCCTCCCTGGTTTAAGTGATTCTCCTGCCTCAGCCTTCAGAGTAGCTGGGACTACAGGTGCACATCATCATGCCCACCTAATTTTTTGTATTTTTAGTAGAGATAAGGTTTCCCCATGTTAGGCAGGATGGTCTCAATCTCTTGACTTCGTGATCTGCCCTCGGCCTCCCAAAGTGCTGGGATTACAGGGGTGAGCCACCACACCCAGCCTCACACTTACACTTCAAAGAGGAATGCATGTAAGTAATTTACCCAAGGTCACACAGAAAGTGTGTAGTGTTAGTTCAGGTTTCAATTAAAAAGGAATTCTAAATCTTGTACACTTGTTATCATGCTCTTAATTTCTCATTTTATATTTGCAGATGTGTATCCTTACCTATAAATACACTCAATATGATCTAAAGATGTGAAGCACTCTCAAGAAAACCAAGCAAGTGATGTTAGGGATACTCTTAATAGAATTAGTCTTTGCTTACTTTACTGAGTATGGCACAGGGGTATACTTGGGTATTTAAGCACTCCTTTTCTCTTCCTAACCTCTAATACCAGATATTTATCCTTTCATTCAAGATAGCCATCTGGATTATCTAAGTTTGAGCAAACAAATATGCAAATAAACATCATACTATTAAATAAAGTAATACAAAGAAAATACTTCCCTAACCCACAGATCGAGCTAGGTTGGGTATCTCACAGATGTACCCATTTGATGTTTAAAGTTTAAGAAATATCAGCCCATGGACACCGCTGAAAAAGCATCTTTAAAGTCTCTCTCCTCTCTGAGATCATGTCTAAGTCAGAGTCTCCTAAAGTGCTGGAACAGCTGAGGAAGCTCTTCATTGGAGGGTTGAGCTTTGAAACAACCAATGAGAGCCTGAGGGGCCATTCTGAGCAATGGGGAACGCTCACAGGCTGTGTGGTAATGAGAAATCCAAACACCAAGCGCTCCAGGGCCTTTGGGTTCCTCACGTATGCAACTGTGGAGGAGGTGGATGCAGCCATGAATGCAAGGCCACACAAAGTGGATGGAAGAGTTGTGGAATCAAAGAGAGCTGTCTCAAGAGAAGATTCTCAAAGACCAGGTGCCCACTTAACTGTGAAAAACATATTCATTGGTGGTATTAAGAAAGGCACTGAAGAACATCACCTAAGAGATTATTTTGAACAGTATGGAAAAATTGAAGTGATTGAAATCATGACTGACCGAGGCAGTGGCAAGAAAAGGGGCTTTGTCTTTGTAACCTTTGACGACCATGACTCCGTGGATAAGAACGTCATTCAGAAATACCATACTGTGAATGGACACAACTGTGAAGTTAGGAAAGCCCTGTCAAAGCAAGAGATGGCTAGTGCTTCATCCAGCCAAAGAGGTGAAAGTGGTTCTGGAAACTTTGGTGGTGGTCATGGAGGTGGTTTCAGTGGGAATGACAACTTTGATCGTGGAGGAAGCTTCAGTGGTCGTGGTGGCTTTGGTGGCAGCTGTGGTGGTGGTGGATATGGTGGCAGTGGGGATGGCTATAATGGATTTGGTAATGATGGAGGCAATTTTGGAGGTGGCGGAAGCTACAATGATTTTGGCAGTTACAACAATCAGTCTTCAAATTTTGGACCCATGAAGGGAGGAAACTTTGGAAGCAGAAGCTCTGGCCCCTATGGTGGGTGGCGGCCAATACTTTGCCAAACCACGAGACCAAGGTGGCTATGGCAGTTCCAGTAGCAGCAGTAGCTATGGCAGTGGCAGAAGATTTTAATTAGGAAGAAAAGCTTAGCAGGAGGGGAGAGCCAGAGAAGTGACAGGGAAGCTACAGGTTACAACAGATTTGTGAACTCAGCCAAGCACAGTGGTGGCAGGGCCTAGCTGCTACAAAGAAGACATGATCTAGACAAATACTCATGTGTATGGGCAAAAAACTTGAGGACTGTATTTGTAACTAATTGTATAACAGGTTATTTTAGTTTCTGTTCTGTGGAAAATGAAAAGCATTCCAACAAAGGGTTTTAATGCAAGTTTGTTTTTTTTTTTTGCACCCATGCTGTTGACTGCTAAATATAATAGTCTGATCGTGATGCTGAATAAATGAAAAAAAAAAAAAAAAAAAAAAAAAAAAAAAAAAAAACAGGGGGCAGGGAGAAAAAAAAAAAAAAAAAACACAGAAAAATCACTTTAGAAAAGCTGGTTATATGAAAGGGTAAGAAAAATGCAGTTTTAAAATCCTGTATGGATTAAAAAATAAATGTGTACAGGAAATTTGGCTTGGATAGAAAAATTAAGATTAGATTAAAAGAAATCATTCCAGTTCCTTTCCTTCCCTTCTATAATCTTTATGCCTATATTGTCTTTAGCGATTTTTTTCTAATTGAAAATGAACTTTTCCCTCATACTATACCGTTTCTTTCTTTTTTTCACTATTGCAAATTCCACTATGGTAGCATTTAACAAGTAACATTTATCAGTAAACAAAGTGCCTTTATACACATACTGGGGTCAAGTTTCAATATCCCTTAAAACTCTCCTCAACATTTCATACTACATGAAGGTATGGTAAGTACTATGCAATGCAGTCAAGTTAGAAGAAAGATAAATGTAGAATCAAATTATATGTCCTTGGTACAATAAATCTTCATTAAGTTCCTTATCAAGCATGCCATCTGAAATACTTCAAATTTGCTCATAGAAAAATAAGACTTGAAAGGTCTCTCAAAGGGTCATGGTTACATTTTCAGGAAAGACTAAGCAAAATCAAGGCAGACCATTATCTACCTTTATTCTTAAAAATATTCAGTCTATGGCCTCTCCTACGATAGAATCAATTCAAATGCCTACTCTAAATTTCTCTTGATGCAATTTAAATCCTTTTTATGGGTAACTGAATTCTCACAGACATAATCCCATCTTTAAGTCTTCTCAAATATAAGATTTTAAACTGCATATTCTTTAGCTTTTCTTAAATTGTTCAAATCTAACTTCTCTGTGGCATTTGTCTTAAAATTTAAACAATTTATTACTGAAAACCAGAAATAAGTTGCCTTGAAATAGTTTTTCACAAATTATAAAAAAAAAAATTGTGACCTAGAGAAATAGATACCATCCCCAACACCTGTCCTACCCGCCCTAACCATTGATTTTAAGCCAGAGAAAAATAAAGAACAGGGGGCCGGGTGAGGTGGCTCACGCTGGTAATCTCAGCACTTTGGGAGACTGAGGCAGGTAGATACCTGAGGTCAGAAGTTGGGAGACCAGCCTGCCCAACATGGAGAAACATCGTGTCTACTAAAAATACAAAATTAGCCGAGTGTCTCGTCTCGAAAAAACACAAAAATAGACAATACATAAGTGAATGAACGTGGCTGTGTTCCAATAAAACTTTATAAAAAGAAAAAAAATAAAGGAAAATAAAGAACAAACAATGAAATTAGAAAGTTTCAAGCCAAGGTAACTACCAACTTGTATCTTAAATGCTAGGATTTAAGATTATTTAAATTTGTTTTCTCATTTTTTCAAGAATAAATTTTTAAGATTATGAAAGTGGGATTCTTCCCATCCTCCCATCCATTCTCCTTTTAGTCTGCCTCAATGAAGATAAGTCTTCAAAGCTATAGGAAATGTGTAGAGTCAAGTACTCTAAAGGAAAACAGAGCATATATTTTAGTCTTTAAGTATAGTCCCTCGTTATCAGTAGGGGATGGGTTCCAGGACATCCTACGGATACCAAAATCTGCAAATGTTCAAATTCCTGATATAAGATGGTGTAGTGTTCACATAATAACCTATGCACATACTCTTATGCTTTAAGTCACTTCTAGACTACTTACAATACTTAACATAATGAAAATACTATGAGAACAGTTCTTAAACTGTATTGTTTAGACAATAATGACCAAAAACATATGTGCATGTTTAGTACAGATGTAATTATTTTTTTCAAGCATTTTCCATCCACAGCTAGTTGAATGCACAAATGAGGAACCCACAGATATGGAGGGCCAACTGTATACAGTCAACTCAAGCAAAGACTAATACTTTTGTACATTTAAGTGAAAATCAAGTATACAAAAATGAGCAGGTACAAACTGTACTTCTCATTGTATTTAATAATGTTCTTACCAAGTAACTCATCAGAAAAACTAGATGACCTATAATTAGCTATACCATCCAACACAGTACATGAACGTGGTATAACTTCTTAGAAACCTAAATAATACCAAAGTGGATTATTTTTATTCACGTATTTTTATCTTTCTTCCCATTCACAATTTCCATGTTTCCCAAGTTTAGCAGTTTCTTAGTACTCTTGGTGACTACCTATGATATAATTCTATCCCCAACTAATTCATGTCTTTATATGTTTTCTATAAAATGCTCCTGCTTGTAACATATAATAGAAAAACAGGTGTTATTTTGTTAGACTACTAATAATTAATAAAAATAGAACAAATATACAGTATTTTCTTGAAAGAAGTAATTTTCTTGAAAAAGTTTAAATAAGTTTTAAGAGCCATCAAGTGGTACTTTGGAAAAAATGCAATCATTAAAACACAGTTGTGCCATATAATGGAATTACATTTAAAGTAAAGTACAAACATGACAGTAATAAAGTATAGCAGTCTAGAATTACCTTTCAAGAGCTGCTCTCCGTTTTTCTACAAATTCAGTGGATGATGAGTCTTCTTTACCCACTTTGACCTTGGTCATCCCTTTGAAGAAGTTGAATGAGATTCATGATGACTTTCTATTGCTGTGAAAGTCTACTATAATCATTTCTTGACAATTTAAAATATACTCAAAATTTGAACTTAACAAACAAAGCCCTAAACTTGTAACTGGTATCTTATTTAAGAAGCAAAAACATTTTGAGGAATTAAATCTCATGATGTGTTAACATCTTTACTTGGTAAATACTTAAAACATGAGAGATGTACAGGAGTTCTTGTAGAAAAAAGAAAAAAAAAATGAGAAAACAGATAAAATCTTTAGTTTTCTGACCCATACTGCTTTTGTTTACAGAAAAGCTTACACCAAAAAGATCCCTTATCTGTTGTATTTTACACTCTGGGTAAATTAAAATGTGTTTCCAACCCAATATACATAATGGGATTTCAAATCAATAAGTTTAAGTTCAATTAACATTTTCATTTCTTATGAGCAATAATTAAAATTCTTTACTTTAGGATGACAAAAATAAAAGTAAATGTAATCCATGAATTTGTTATGTTTTCCCTCCTGCAGACTCTAAGAGCATGTTCTTTTTTTTTTTTTTTTGAGATGGAGTTTCACTCTTGTTACCCAGGCTGGAGTGCAATGGCGCGATCTTGGCTCACCGCAACCTCCGCCTCCTGGGTTCAGGCAATTCTCCTGTCTCAGCCTCCTGAGTAGCTGGGATTACAGGCACGCGCCACCATGCCCAGCTAATTTTTTGTAGTTTTTAGTAGAGACGAGGTTTCACCGTGTTGACCAGGATGGTCTCGATCTCTTGACCTTGTGATCACCCGCCTCAGTCTCCCAAAGTGCTGAGATTACAGGCGTGAGCCACCGCGCCTGGCCGAGCATATTCTTGTTTACTTATCATAGCTGGTTTTATAATGGATGAAAGAAAAAGCTCTTTCACAGTCATTTACAACTTCAGATTTAAAAAATAAGTCATGTTAATTATTTCTGTATGGGCGATTTAAATTTTAGACTCCAGATTTTTCTCTTTTATTCCCCCGTTTTTTTCCCTTTCAAAAATGTCTTCTGCGGAAACAAAATACTGATATATGCTACAATATGAAAGAACCCTGAAAATATGATGCTAAGTGGAAGAAATTTGTCACAAAAAAATAATCTATTGTATGATCCCCTTTACATGAAATGTCAAGAATAGGTAAATCTCTAGAGAAAGAAAGCACATTAGTGCTTGCCTGAGGCTGGGGAGAATAAGGACATTAGGGGATGATGGCTAAGGGATCCCGGATTCCTTTTTGGGGTAATATAAATACTCTAAAATTGACTGTGGTAATGTATTTACAACTCCTAATATATTAAAAGCCAGTACATTGGATACCATTTATTTTTCTTCTTCAAAACACGGTCTCTCCCTGTCACCTAGGCTGGAGTGCAGTGGCATAATCATGGCTCACTGCAGACTCAATATCCCAGGCTCAAGCAGTCCTTCTACTTCAGCTTCCTGAGTAGCTGGGACCACCGGCACACGCCACTACACCCAGCTAATTCTTTGTAGAGACAAGGTTTTGCTATGTTGCCTAGGCTGGTCTCATACCCCTGTGCTCAAGCAATCCGACTACCTCAGCCTCCCAAAGTGCTGGGATTACAGGCATGTGCCACCACACCCGACCTAGACACTTTAAATGGATATAATATGGTATATAATTTATATTCCAATAAAGCCTTTTAAAAATGGGTTATATAAAACCATACAATTTTTCAGTTTGGTACATCTTTAGTTTGTTACATTAATTATCACCTAATAATGTTTTGTTTAACAAAATTCCAATGAAATACAGTGGCTTGAAAAGGAAAACTTAGACACCTAAAATTACCTCTGACTGAACTACTGGATATGGGATGTGAATTGTTTCACAAACTATTTTCCTGAAAAAAATTTCACCATTGGGTAATTCTTCACTGAAGTTAAAGACCTTCTATCTACTCTACTTTTTAGAAGTAATTGTTAAGGGACATAGTGACCAATAAAATAAAAAAAAAAACCAAACAACCTATCCTAACCAGTTAACTTTTAATACTTTTCAACTTTGTTGTTCTTTTCTAACAGTTTACATGAAATAGTGTTCTTAAGTCAACTAGGGTCCTACCAAAGTAGTAACAGTTATGTGTTCATGAACGCTCTTCTCCCTTCAGTGGCAGTTATAAAGCTTCCCAGGAAAGAGAAGTACGACTCTTTTTCCATACCCCTCGGCTGTAAGTGTAAGTTACTTGAAAACCACCAGCTATGTAATTAGAAGTTCAAAGATCAAGTTGTCACCCACCTTTAATAACTGTTCAAGACTTTACCATACTTGGAGGAAACTGTTTTGCTTGGCTTCATATTCCTATTTGACTACATTTATTTTTCCTGATAATTTCTCTCTATATAAACTGTATTACATATAGTTGCCTGAAATCCTTTTTGGAATGGTGGTGTATATTTATAAGTTTTAAACAATTTAATCCACATTAAATTTGTTCCAGTTGGGTTTGGTGGCTCATTCTTGTAATTTCAACAGTTTGGGACTGAACCAAACCTGCAGGGCAGGGGGAATGGTTTAAGCCCAGGAATTTGAGACTAGCCTGGGCAATACAGTGAGATCCTATCTCTAAAAAATAAAAAATTAGCTGGGCATGGTGGCATACCTGTAGTCCCAGCTACTACAAGAACAAAATAAATTTTGTTCTTGCTCTTATAACCAGGCTGGAGTGCACTGGCTTGATCATAGTTTACTGCAGCCTCAAACTCCTCAGCTCAAAGGATTCTCTTACCTCTGCCTCCTGAGTAGCTAGGGCCACAGGTGCATGTCACCATGCCCAGCTAATCTGTCAATTTTTTTTGTAGAGATGGGGTCTTACTATGTTGACCAGACTTAAGTGTATTTTAGATTACTCTACAATAACATAGCATTATGTTATTTTTAAAAATTGAAAAGTTTTCCATTTCAGCTAAAAAATTCAAGCAAACTATAATTGTATTGAAATAACCATAATGAAATTAGGATACAGAATAGAAGAATATTCAGAGTGATTAAAAGTAAAGGGTCTGGAGATAGCCTACATTCAAAGATCAGCTCTGTCACTTAGTTCAATGACTTGGGGCACGTTACATAACCTTGATTAACCTTTGTTTCCTTGCCCATTAAATAAAGATAATAAGTTAACCTCATAAACTTGTTGTGAGGATCAACTGATAGAATGCACATATGCACATAAAGTACTTAACACAGTACATTAGCACAGTAAGCATTCAGTGAATGTTAGTTATTCCTATGCTTTAACCCAGGAGTCCCCAAACCCTAGGTCATGAACCAGTACTGGTCCATGACCTGTTAGGAAGTGGGCTACACAGCAGGAGATGAGCTATGCTTCCTGTCATATCAGCAGTGGCATTAGACTCTCATACGAGTGTGAACCCTATGAACTGGGCATGTAAGGGATCTAGGTTGTGTGCTCCTCATGAGAATACAGTGCCTGATGATCTGAGGTGGAACAGTTTCATCCTGAATCCATGCCCTACCCCAACCCCATCTGTAGAAAAATTGTCTTCCATGAAACCTGTTCCTGGTGCTAAAAAGGTTGGGGACCACTGCTTTAATGGATAGTTTTGTAACAGGCTAGCTTGGTCATTTAACATAAACATAACTGTGTCACTGTCCCCTATTAACATCTGGAGCCAGTCAGAATCAGTAATAGAAAAGGATGCTCTTAGGATTTAGTTTCTAACTTCTACTTTGAATTTACATGCGGTATTTATTATATTGCAATAATTCATGGAATGCTGAAGATTATTAAGGCAGAAAATCAGTTGGAAACATGATCTTAGGCATGAAAATTTAGTTTTTAAGTTTTTTGGTCAACATGTAAGGATTAACTAGCATATACAGCTATCAAAATGAGATAAAATAATATATTGTTTTACCTCTTTTGGTATGTAAAAATGTTGCATGATGAAGTCAAAAAAAGACGTTAATAATCCTAGGGGGGATTCAGAGACCCTTAAGGGAGGTAGGTGGGTGGGCACAAAGTCTATTTCATAATATTAAGCTATTTGTTTTTTTTTTTACTCGCATTATTTCATGAATGTTCAGTGTAGTTTTACAAAGGTAATATGATGTGTTATTTCAAAACAAATTGAGTACAGAAGCAGATACAAGAATACAATTATCCTCTATTAAGCCAGAAATTAAAAAGATTTCCAAAAAGGTAGAATAAAAGAAAGCAAGACACTCTCATCATTAAATTTGTCTTACAGCATTTATTTCACAAAATGTTTCACACATAATAAATTTATTGTTATTTTTAAATGAATTATTAAAAATACGTTTTCAAAGGAATTGTCCATAAATACAGCCCACATAAGCAAAAACTCTTTAGGGTGCTCAATAAATTTTAAGAACACAAAAAAGGTCTTGAAAGACCAAAAAGTTAAAGAACCACTCAGCGCAATTTTTGAATTATAAAAAAAAGAATATAACAAATGCATATAAATACGTTAGGTGTTGAAACCATAACAGGTACGAGTAACATTGCTTTTTAAACCTAATGTTTAAAAAGGTAAAAACAATAATTTAAAAATCCGCAAAATTTGGCTGAGCATGACGGCTCCGGTCTGTAATCCCACCCCTTTGGGAGGCCAGGCAGGAGGACTGGTTGGGGCTAGGAGTTTGAGACCAGCTTGTGGGGGAAAAAAAAAAAAAAAAAAAATCAGAAAAAAAAAAATTTTTTTTTTTGGTACGGAATCTTTTTCGGTTGCCCAGCCTGGAGTGCAATGGCACAATCTTAGCTCACTGCAACTTCCACCTCCCGGTTCAAGTGATTCTCTGGCCTCAGCCTCCCAGTAGCTGGGTTACAGGCTTCAGCCACTATGCTTGGCTAATTTTTGTATTTTTGTAGAGACAGCAGGTGTTTCACTATGTTGGCCAGGCTGGTCTCAAACTCCTGATCTCAGGTGATCTGCCTATCTCGGCCTCCCAAAGTGCTGGGATTACAGCCATGAGCCACAGTGCACAGCTAGCAGAATTCATTTTAAAAATCTTTCATGCCAGGTGTCATGGCTCACACCTATAATCCCAGCACTTTGGGGGGCCGAGGCAGGCAGATCATGAGGTCAAGAGATGGACACCACCCTAGCCAACATGGTGAAACCCTGTCTCTACTCAAAATGCAAAAATTAGCACATGCCTATAGTCCCAGCTACATGGGAGGCTGAATTGCTTGAACCCAGGGAGGGAGGGGAAGTGGAAGTTGCAATGAGCCAAGATTGTGCCACTGCACTCCAGCAGTAATGGAGCGAGACTCCGTCAAAAAAAAAAAAAAAAAAAAAAAAAAATCTTTCAGATTGGCCAAGCGAGGTGGCTCACTCCTGTAATCCCAGCACTTTGGGAGGCTGAGGTAGGAGGAGCGCTGTCAAGGCAAGAGGATCACCTGAGGTTGGGGGTTCAAGACCAGCCTGGCCAACATGATGAAACGTCATCTCTACTAAAAATACAAAAATTAGCTGTGTGTGGTGGCATGTGCCTATAATCCCAGCTACTCAGGAGGCTGAGACAGGAGAATCACTTGAACCTGGGAGGCAGAGGTTGCAGTGAGCCAAGATCAAGCCACTTGTACTCCAGCCTGGGCAACAGAGTAAGACTTTGTCTCAAAAAAGAAAAAGAAAAAAAGAAAAAACTTTCAGATTAATCTAAGTATAAATAAAAGTAATGGTAGTGCTCACTTCAGCAGCACATGTACTAAAATTGTGAACAATACAGAGAAGAAAATTAAAGGAAAAAAAAAGGAAAAGGTAAATAAAAACCTACGACTGAAAAAGCGTTGAATAAAATACTACAAAATTTTGAGAGACGACAGATGTCTTTTAATGGTGGGACTATAGAAGTATCCTCCTCTTTTGTAGTTTTCTGCATTTTCTTAACTAAATCTTTATTGCTTATAGAAGTAGAAATGTTTTTAAACTTTAAATTGAGGTACAAAGTGAGCTAAGATGAGTTTAAACAGTTCTTATATGAGCCAAGGTTAGTGTATACCTGAGGTTAGTTAAACACCTCCATCCCTTGGAAAAATGTTAACATATTAATAATATTAAGTATTATCTGATTGTCATTCAGTAAAACAGTAATCTAATGACCTGAAAGGTTAGGGTTTCAAACTGCTTTTAACTTGGTAAATTTCAACCCAATATTTTTTTTTTTTTTTGAGACAGATTCTCACTCTGTTACCCATGCTGGAGTGCAGTGGCATGATCTCAGCTCACTGCAACCTCTGCCTCCTGAGTTCAAGTGATTCTACTGCCTCAGTCCCCTGAGTAGCTGGCATTACTGGCATGTGTCACCATGCCTGGCCAATTTTTGTATTTTACTAGAGACAGGAGTTTTACCATGTTGGCCAGGCTGGTCTCAAACTCCTAACCTCAAGTGATCGTCCCACCTTGGCCTCTCAAAGTGCTGAGATTACAGGTGTGAGCCACCATACCTGGTTTAACCCAATATTTAACATTATTGTATTACTTAAATAAAAATCCTCAGGTATTAGAAAATAAAACTATTATCTATACATTCTTCAATCCATGCATGATTAGTATAAATGAAACATTTAAATTCAATTATCTCTACACATTATAAAATGTCTCATAATCAGTGAATGATTATGAAATCCACAAATCCATACAGTTAAAACTGAACTAGTAACAGTAACAAAAATTAATTTTTGAAAATTTGTGCTTACCTACTATACTCTTTTCTGGAGCTGGTGGCACAATATAACCAATGTGTAAATACTTGCTTGCCAATTTGCTGTGCAAACCAAGAAAGTCGCTGAATCTTCTTTTCACTGAAAATTCACTCTTACTGAACATGGAAAGAGATGTCTACAAGTGAAGAAGTATTTCAAGTTTTGAATAGTAAGCACTATTTCACCAGTTAATGTTATACATAATTGTGAGCACACACATATATCTACCTTGCAAAAGAATGCAGAGTATCTAATTAGTGTGGTATAGAGATTTTAAACTAAAAAAATATAAATCATAGATGTATTTTACAGAAACTTAATAGGACAAAAAAGTATTTGCATTATTTTATCTTAACTGATCTTATTCACACTCTATGCTAAAAATTCTTAAATATTTACATTGGGGCCAGATATCTTTGAAAGCTTCAGTCCAATATATCCAAATACCTCTCCACTTAAATCTCATTGGCATTTCAAACTCACCATACTTCCCCCTGCTGAAACACAAGTTCTATAAGACACCACCCTTGTCTGTATTGTTTACTACTATAACCTAGTGCTTGCAATAAAGCTTGACACCATGGTAGGTGTTTAATGAATATTTACCCTATGAATTAACAACTGTCATCCCTACTCTCACTATGTTCCTGCCTGTGTTGCCTTTCTCCGTGGATAACTCTCACAGTTGCAAAGTCCCTCTAGTCAGTAACAGGCATCCCTCTCCTTCCTCACCCCTTATATCCAAGTCCTGTCAATTCTACCTCCTACATTAACTCAAGAAGCCAGTTATTTTGCTCATCTCCAGGACCATTTTCTTAATATAAAGTATTACAGCTCATAGCTAGAATTGCTGTGAAAGACACTCTCTTTTAAGATTTGAAGGTCTACAATCCTTTAATCATTACAGTGTCCTTTTAACTGGAAATTCTGTTCTCTATTTTGACCCTGCCAATTCACGCTGAGGCCAAAGAAATCTTTCTAAAACAAAAACCTAATTGTGCCACACTCTTTTATTTTTTTTTGGGTATATAAACTATTTATTAACAGACAAGGCCTAAAGACTTATTTCTTCTTGGATACAGCCATGGCATCCAGTGGTCTTGGTGTGCTGGCCTCGGACACGAAGGTCCCAGAAGTGGCGAAGCCCTCTATGGGCCAGAATCTTCTTCAGTCGTTCCAGGTCTTCACGGAGCTTGTTGTCCAGACCACTGGCAAGGACCTGGCTATATTTTCCATCCTTTACATCCTTTTGTCTGTTCAAGAACAAGTCTGGGATCTTGTACTGGCGTGGATTCTGCACAATGGTGATCACATGTTCCACCTCATCCTCAGTGAGTTGTCCCGCCCTCTTGGTGAGGTTAATGTCTGCTTTCTTCAACACCACATGAGCGTATCTTCAGCCCACACCCTTAATGGCAGTGATGGCAAAAGCTATTTTCTACCGCACATCGATGTTGGTGTTGAGTACTTGCAAAATATGCTGGAACTTTTCAGGGATCACTAGAGACATGGCGGCAGCACAAGCAGCAGCGTGTAGGCCTCCTGTGGAAGCTTTGAACTTCTTTAATGGCTCTCCATTATACTTGGGATGACGCCAAACTCCTTAAAATGTGGCTGCTCATTATAGACAAAGGCTTACTGCCAAACAATTCAATCTTGCATCACTTCTTAGAGATTCTAGAAAGCATAATGCTTTCTTGACTTTTGGCTTTTGCACAAGCAAATTCCTCACCTGGAACACGCATTCTTCTTCTTCCCCCTCTCCTCCCCTATCATTTCCCACACCTACGTCTTGGCTTAGGCATCCTGAGGTATAAATTAGGTCCCATCCTGCATACTCTCACTGAACACTCTACATATCAAACTACTTACAACTCGTTGTAATCACTTCTTGGCAATCTTTATTATGTGGTAACCTTTATAAAGACAGGGATCACTTCTACCTTAATCATAGCCATATCCTCATACTACACATAGTGAGGGCTCAATATTTTTTTTAAAAGCACAGAAGCTCACCTTTGTTGTTACTCTATATGCCATATAGGCATTCATGCCATCACCTACAAAAAAAGTCAAACACTGCTATTAAAATCACATGCATAAAAATAAAAATCATTTAATACTATACTGATGTATTAAGAAAAACAGTACAAAACCACCAAATTAATAAAAAGTGAATACAAAATACAATAAATATTGACTCACCGACTTTCTCTGGATCTGATACACCAATTTCTATGTCAAAAATATCTCCATTTGCTTCTTCTTCAATCTAGAAAGTATAATTTTTTTGGCATTAAATATTATAATTTATTGTCATGATATTAAACTAATTTTTATCATCTATTTTCTGTAAGAGTCACTGTCACAACAAATAATTTAGCCACTCAGCACTTCATTTCTGAAAGACAATGAAAACTTTCACATTTCTTGACTTTGTAAATAAAATACACACACACACACACACACACACACACACACACACACACACAGAAGACCATTTGGAGAAGTAACAATTTTTTTTTTAAAGACACAGTCTCACTCTTGCCCAGGTGCTGTGGCTCAACCTCAGCTCACTGTAATCTCCGCCTCCCGAGTTTAAGCAATTCTCATGCCTCAGCCTCCCAAGTAGCTGGGATTACAGGTGTCTGCCACCACACCTGGGTGATTTTTGTATTTTTAGTAGAGACGAGGTTTCACTATGTTGGCCAGGATGGTTTCGAACTCCTGACCTCAGGTGATCTGCCTGCCTTGGCCTCCCAAAGTGCTGGGATTATAGGCGTGAGCCACTGTGACTGGCCCAAAATCTTGTGTTTTTATAATTCCTCAGATGTAGAAAAAATGTTTTAGCCTTTTTGTACAAATATTGTGGAATTTTTTGTTCTATACACTGCATCTTCAGATTCAGATTTAAAAATTACGACCTTAATTAATTTTAATACTAGCATTTTTCTAAATTGTATCTCTACTCTTTAAAAACAAGGAGGTAGGTAGTCACTACTTTCACCAGCAGAACCTTACAAACCAGCATAAGTGATTATACTGAAAAGCAACTTTAGCATCAAGATTTCTCTAATTATCTAATAAACAAATGTTCTTCTGGAAGCCAAGGAAAGCACTATACACCTCATTGAAAAAGCAGTAAGTGGGAAAAATGATAACCCTATCAGACTTCATAGAAGCCCTTGCAAATGCCATTATAAATAAACAATCCAAACAGTAGCTCTGCAGGAAAGCTTCATTATTCTCAAGCAGAAAGCTAAGAGATTATTCAATTTTGTGAATTTTTGAAAGCAATTATTAATAGCCTAACACTCTCTAAATGAAAAGTGTTTCTGGCTGGGCGCGGTGGCTCAAGCCTGTAATCCCAGCACTTTGGGAGGCCGAGGCGGGTGGATCACGAGGTCAAGAGATCGAGACCATCCTGGTCAACATGGTGAAACCCCGTCTCTACTAAAAATACAAAAAATTAGCTGAGCATGGTGGTGTGTGCCTGTAATCCCAGCTACTCAGGAGGCTGAGACAGGAGAATTGCCTGAACCCAGGAGGTGGAGGTTGTGGTGAGCCGAGATTGCGCCATTGCACTCCAGCCTGGGTAACATGAGTGAAACTCCGTCTCTAAAAAAAAAAAAAAAAAAAAAAAAAAAGAAAGTGTTTCTAACCATACTTATTTTATTTCAAGGTTGTCTTCTTAGATATTTTTAAAGTAAAACTTTGAAAAATCATTATATAAAAAGTATATAAATTCTAAGTGTACAGTTCAATAAACCTTCACAAAGTGAACACATCTTTGTAACCAGAACCTAGATCAGAAATAAGCATCATCACTACAGCCCAGGAGGCCCTCTTATGCTTCCCCTCCAGTTACAACCCATTCTTTTTTTTTGAGACAGAGTCTCACTCTGTCTCTCAGACTGCAGTTCAGTGGCATGATCTCGGCTCACTGCAATCTCTGCTTCCTGGGTTCAAGCAATTCTCCTGCCTCAGTCTCCCGAGTAGCTGGTATTATAGGCATAAGCCACCATGCCCAGCTAATTTTTGTATTTTTAGTAGAGACGGGGTTTCACCATGTTGGTCAGGCTGGTCTCGAACACCTGACCTTGTGATCTGCCCGCCTTGGCCTCCCAAAGTGCTGAGATTACAGGCATGAGCCACCGTACCTACATTCTTTACCTGCCAACATAACCACGTCCCAGACATCCAACATCGTACCTTAGTTATACCTGCTTTTAAAGTTTATATATTATAATAATATAGTATTCTTCTATGTCTTACTTCTTTCCCTTAATATTATGTTTGTGAGATTATTCATTTTTTTGTGTGTGGTTGTTACTAAATTATGGTCATCTTAATGACATATTTCCATGAATAACTTTTAAATATATAACTGCCATTAAAATAATCTCCACATAATTTTTCTTTTCCAAATTCACCTTGTCAGAAATTACTGCCAAATTAAGAGAATGTACCTTTAACTGATATATATTTCCCCTTCTTTTTCAACAGCAACCTTTAAGTATTAACAGTATTTATTGAAAATTTTATCAAATAAATTTACTCAAAATACCACTTTTCTGTGATTAACCATTTTCAAAGCACTTTTATATACCATCTGACCAACAGATGAACCTGGGGAACCACAAACTATCATCATAAAGTCAGAAATGACAAACTCCTTCAACTTAAGAAGGTAGATGATATGCCCAGGTCACTGGGTAGAATGGGGGAGATAAAATTAGAAGCCAGATCCCATAACTTACTTAGTTCAATGTTCTTTTCCCAAAATGTCTGAAAGGCTTTGATTAGAAATGACTAACAGGAGAGTGATGTTGGGTGGGGGGGGGAAACGTATATATTTACATATTAATTTAGAATACACTTTCCTGTACCTCTTCCCTGGATCTATCAAAGATCACGGGAGCAGACATACTCTTTGATTCAATTCTAGGAGCAATGAGTGTAGTAGGAGTGACAGGTGTGACTGCAGGAGAAGGTTCCGAGGAGAGGATAGGTTCCCTTTCAGGGCTGTCCAAAGAAACTTCTTCTGTGGCTTCTAGACATAGATTAAACAAATTAGTTAAGAACACTGGCAACAAAACCCCCCATATTCTACATAGCAGTTAATGGATTATAAAAAAATATTTTTATATTACCCACAAATATCGAAAATGTCATTTAAAAATAATTGTCACAAAGGAATTTTATGCATCCTTCCTTTATCATAAAGTTAAAACCAACTGTAACTTTGTTAGTTTTAGAAAGAATCCTATTAAGTTAGCTTAATTATCTACACTAGTGGTAGGGATAAGGCTGAAAGAAAAGCAATGATGTAAATGATTCCACATTTGTGTTTGGATTTGTAACATATATGTGGTAACTTACCTTTCAAATATGTATTCACGCTAATATTATGATTATTTTATACATATAAACAAAAATTTTATGGCAGAAGTCTGCCCAGAAGTATTTCAACTTGGATTAAAAACTGGCTATGGAAAACCCACAAAGTTAGTAATCTAAAGCAATCAATTGCTAAAGCTTATTGGATATTAGTTGGACACACACATGTGACACAAAGCAAACAGGTATTTAGGTTTTAAATTAAAATACCCACTTACTTGAAAAATCTAGTACTAATAATTTTTAAAAATCAAACCAAATCAATAAACTGAACATCTACAGGCTGCGTAACACTGTGCTAAGTATAATGGAAAAACACAAATAAAGTAAAATATCATACCTATTCTCAGAGAGTTTATAATCTAGTTGGGGAAAACAAGACACAAACATGTGGGATGTTAAATAATAATAAAAGAGTTAAATAATAGCCAGGCAAACAATGAAAAGAATGTTACAAGAAATTCAATTACTATACGAACTACCAAACAAACACTACAATTTGAGTTGAGACGGGAGACAAAAATAAGGAACAGTTTATAAAATGGAGCTGAGAAGATTGAGATGGGTAGAGAAAAAATGAGGGAAGAATTCCACGAAAATGGAATAATGACATATGCAAAAAGCAGAGCCAGGAAAAGGGTAAATTACAATTGGTGGGCATAATGTAAACTACAATTTGCTGATTTGTAGAATTGATACTATGAAAGGAAGACAGGCCTTCAAGGAAAACGCAGGATCAGACCAGTGGTTTCTAACCTGAGGTTCTTAGATTCTTAGATGGTGTTAATGATAGTCAGTGACCCATTCTAATTTTAATACCTCAAGGTAAAGCAATAATAGCATGTTTACCTGAAATAAGGTTACACATGTTAATATTTTATTAAGCTATTCTTACTGATTATCTCATGTTGATGAGAGCCTTATTTGGTATAGATCTCTTTACTGTTTCCTATTAAAAGTGAAAATGATCAATAACTAAAAATCTTTCAAACTACGGTAACCAGAGGAGGGAAAATGGACTATAGATGCTGAAACAGGTTATAACAAAATAAAAGCTTATATGCAACTTCAGGCTGTGATGATTGCTGGTATTCATTACTCTTTTTGCAAAGAAATGAAACCAATGAGGAATATGATACAGTAAAAAAGTAGTGTATCAAAGCTAGGAGGTATGAGATCTTTACAACAATAAGTAAAACAAGAAGCACCAAACAAAACAAATACCCCAGAATTTGAAAGAGGCACTGTTATTTGGCAACAGACTCATAGACAAAATATCGTGAGAGATGGTACCTTTATTGAGAAATCAGTACAGATAAAGTCACTTAAACTTTTTAATCACATTTTACTTTACTGATACTGGGTTTTGTGTTACTTACACTAACAGGCTGCTTCGTTCAAAAACTGTAGGATTTAGATTCAACACACTAATATATAATCTGTCTTAAATCTTCTTCGTGACACTTTTAGCTTAAGTAAACCAACATATTACAAATTCACAAGGTTTAATTTAAAGCAAACTTAAAGGTTCAGGAAGATATCTCATAGGTGCTAACTATAAAATTAACTTTTTCTTCAAGACATACTTTGAGACAAGTATAAATCGATTATGTCAATGTCAATAGAGCAGTATCTATATTTTCTCCTCTGGTATAAGAGAAGCAAAGTACAGGTTTCTTATTACTGGACAATAGTTTTCACCATCTCAGTAACACATGCTGCTCTCTATTATAGTTTTCTAGACCCATACTCCTCCATAGAAGGAGGAATGCTACAACTGCTAAAGTGTATTATGAATAAGAACCAAGTGTAATATTCATTCATTCACTCACACAAAAATGATCAGATTAGGTCTTCAATCAGGAGACAGATGACTGTGTTTATTGTTCCTTAGTTCCCATCTCTCTCTCTTTTTTAAGCAAACACTAACATTCACCGTATTTGATTCACTGAATTTAGTATAGACTGCTAAGTAGAATAAAACACTATAACGATTTTTCTGGCTGGGCTCAATGGCTCACACCTGTAATCCCAATACTTTGGGAGGCCCAGGTGGGAGGATTGTTTGAGGCCAGGAGTTCAAGACCAGCCTGGGCAACATAGCAAGACCCCATCTCTACAAAACATGAATAAATTAGCCAAGTATGGTGGCACATGTCTATAGTCTTAGCTACTTGAGAAGCAGGGGTGGGAGAATTGTTTGTGCCCAGGAGTTCGAAGCTGCTATGAGCTATGATGGTGCCACTATGCCCCAGCTTGGGTGACAGAGACCCTGTATTTTTTTAAAAATTTTTTTCTAATCAAGTTCAGGGGCAAATATCACTGTATGGTCCTCATTTGGCTAACTCTTTGATCAGCTAGCTGTGCATACTGTTAAAAAAAAAAAAAAAACTTTGCATGTACACAAACACACACAAACACAGTCCTGTTTTGCTCTTGTCCCACAGGCTGGAGTGCAAGGTGCCATCTCGGCTAACTGTAACCTTCACTTCCTGGGTTCAAGCGATTCCTTTGTCTCAGACTCCCAAGTAGCTGGGATTACAGGCATGTGCCACCATGCCTGGCTAATGTTTTGTATTTTTAGCAGAGGTGGGGTTTCACTATGTTGGCCAGCTGGTCTCAAACTCCTGACCTCAGGTGATCCACCTACCTCAGCCTCCTAAAGTGCTGGGATTACAGGCATGAGCCACTAGTTCTCCTGTTACAGTAAGGTTTAAATGTATTCATCTACACAGAATTCTGAGATTATAGAGTGAAGGAATCTTTAATAAAATGGATAATTTAAAACCTCTATGTATGACCTTATACTATTAAAAGAATACACAGAATTTTAGATAAGAAGCTGCTTAATAGAGAAAGAGCTTGTGTCATCTTTTAGCTTAAAATACAAATACCATGAAACAACTTTGAAAGATTGCCTGAAAAAAAGTCAATGAAAGGACACAATAACAAATACTGAAATGCTAAAACTCTGGTTAACTGTGATTTTGATTCTATGTTGTTAGGTGGCTTAAAATTTCAAAAAGAGAACATGACTGATATTTGGTATCATACTTTTAATTTTGTAACATAATAAAATATGTGAATTAATCTGCAGTGACAACTTCTCATGGAATGAATCAAGCTGGCAATTAAATGGATTTTTGTGGAGGATTTTTATCTTCAAACATATTTGTACAAAAACACAGAACGGTTTGAATACTGAATCACTATAAAAGTTAAGTACATAATTATTAATTTTTTAATCTTTTTTTCTTTTTCATGTGAGATGAATAATGTGCCAATAGTATAGCAAGGTTTGAGGGAGGCATATCTCACAGATTAGTGTGAAGTCTCAATCTTACAAATTAAAAATGTTTAGCGTGAACATCTCAAGCTTAAGAGCCACAGAAGAATCCACCCATATTAAGTTTTAACTCAATGAAAGCCAGTTCTGGTAAATTAGGCTATAAAAAACACAGAAAATAAAATTTACCATTTTCACTTTTCATGTCACTAATTTTAAGGAAGATGTTGCTTTTTAATATTAAAACATTAATTTTAATTTTAAAGCACATAATTGTTTAAGAGAGTCCTTCTTTTTTTAAGTTAGGATGAATTAAACCACATCCTGCCCCTATATAAAAAACACATTCCTTAAGCATCAAATTATTCACCTAAAAGTGGGTCAAATGGAACAGACAGTAAATAGTTCAGCAATTTATTAAAACAGCTTTCAAACATAAAGATTACAGAATAATTTTTAAATTCACAGTTTAATTTTGCTTTGTGACAACTTCTAAGTAATAAAAAAGTACAATCACTGCTATGTCTCAGAGTATCACAACCATTAATCTTTTGAATCGAAGTACTGCCCCCAAACTATAATAAATAATTTATTTTCAAATGCTTAAATCCAGAAAGAACCACATTTTGCTTCTCTTGACAGTCCACATTTTTCATAGAGTGATGTGACTGGAAATTCCCCATCCTTCTAAGTTGTTACAAGAGCTGCCACTAACACTTTACACAGCATTTCAGTTTTGTTCTAGATAATATTTTCTATCTAATAGAAAATATACTGCAATTGGCCATTATTAAAAAATAAAGACATGACAATTACCTGCAAAAAGATCTTCTCTGTCATCATCTAGGACAACTTCTGTGGGTTTTGGGCCATTGGAGTTTGCACTAATATCTTCTGCAGGAAGACTAGCTGGTTCTGGAGATGATGGACTTGACTGTTAAAAAAGAACAATAGGTAATGATTGGCATGTTTATCTGTTGTATTTCTGTCACCATGTACTACAGAAATAGAACATTCTCTTGATAAGAAGGGAGGTTAAGAACAAGAACAGCTATTTATATTTCCTCCTCTGAGAGTAAGAATGAACTAATAACAAGCTTTTAATTCATCATCTTTCTTTCTTTTATTTTTTGAGATGGAGTTTCACTCTTGTTGCCCAGGCTGCAGTGCAATGACGCGATCACAGCTCACCACAACCTCCACCTCCTGGGTTCAAGCAACTCTCCTGCCTCAACCTCCTGAGTAGCTAGGATTACAGACATGTACCAACATGCCCAGCTAATTTCGTATTTTTAGTAGAGGGAAGGTTTCTCCATGTTGGTCAGGCTGGTCTTGAACTCCCGACCCCAGGTGATCTAATTCATCATCTTTCTTAACAAAAAGTCACTTGTGATTTAAAAAAGAAAATCTTTTTTTTTCCTTTTCATTTTTTGAGACAGGGTCTCACTCTGTGGCCCAGGCTAGAGGGTAGTAGTGTTATCTCGGTTCACTGCAGCCTTAATCTTCCAGGCTCAAATGATCTTGGTTCACTGCAGCCTTGACCTTCCAGGCTCAAAGGATCCTCCCACTTCAGCATCCTGAGTATCTGGGACTAAAAGCAGACGTCACCATACCCGGTTAATTTTTTTTTTTTTTTTTTTTTTTTTTAAGAGATGGGGTTTCACCATGTTGCCCAGGCTCGAACTCCTGAGCTCAAGTGATCCTCCCACCTCAGCCTTCCAAAGTGCTGGTGTGTGCCAGCACCCCTGGCCAGAACCTTTTCTAGTCATCCTTTTAGAGGTACTAACTAGTTTGTCATGCTGAGTTATAATTGACAAAAACCAAATCTAATATTTTACACAGTCATATACAATAGAACCAAAACCATGTTACGGTCCTTGATTTTCAAAAATTCCAATTTTTTTGTTATTGCCAAGGTTTTTTTTTCCCCTGGTGGTGGGGTGGATATACCCAAACATCAAAATTCCACATCACTCAACAGATCTTGAAAACATGTTGCATGTCCTAGAAGTTCAAAGCACTGCTTTACTATAAGAGGAAAATAATACTAGCTCAGTCAAGTCCAATTACTCTAAAATTTCTATCACTTCAAACTAAAAATACGCCCTCTCAAGACATTTATATTTCATCTACACTAATGACTATGACTATTCTTGTACTTTTTTTTTGAGATGGAGTCTCACTCTATTGCCCAGGCTGGAGTGCAATGGTGCAATCTTGGCTCACTGCAACCTCCGCCTCCTGGGTTCAAGTGATTCTCCTGCCTCAGCATCCCAAATAGCTGGGATTACAGGTATGCACCACCATGCCTAGCTAATTTTTTTTATTTTCAGCAGAGACAGGATTTCACCATGTTGGTCAGGCTGGTCCTGAACTCCTAACCTCAGGTGATCCATGCACCTCGGGCTCCCAAAGTGCTAGGATAACAGGCGTGAGCCACTCTTATACTTCTTTAACCTTAAAGTATAATGATTAACAAAATGGAACCTAGATTGTGTAGCTTTTCTCTTTATTATGGTTTTCTTACAATACTTAAAATCAGGACTTTAAAAAAACTTTTTATTGAAATATAACCAAAAAAACTGTATAAATCAAAAGCATACAGCTAGATAGTTTAAAAAACTCAACATACCTCTGCAAATGCACTTGGATCAAGAAAGACCATTACCATCAAACCTAGAAGCTCCACTTATGCTCCCTCCCTTTCTTTACCATGCACGCTTCTTATTCCTAATTTTGCTCTTCATAAAACAGAGCCACACAGTATATATTTTTTGTGTTTGGTTTTTGGCCCTAATGTTACTATGTAAGTAAGATTCTTTCATATTGTTCTGTGTAGTATCAGACCACTCATTATCATAAATGTATAATATTCCATTGTGTGAATACCATACTTGTGCCATTGTAGCGTTGATAAGCATTGGGTGGTTAACAGGTTTTTTTACCGTTAATACTACCAATAGTGCTGCTATGAACTTTCCAGTTCATCATTTAGTGAACATGTGAACAAATATGTTTGTATAAACCTAAGAGTGGAATAGCTGTATCACAGGGTATATGAATGTTCAGCTTTAGAAGATGAATGTTCAGCTTTAGAAGATATTAGTAAATGGTCTTCTAAAGTGGTTGTATAATTTTACAGTCCCACCAGCAGCATAGAAACTTTGTTGCTCCAATTCTTTGCCAACGTTTTGATATATTCCATTTTTTTCCACTTTGCTATTCTAGCATGTAGAGCATGTATGACTGTGTTCTGAATTTGTATTTCCCTGATGAGTAATGATGGTGAGCAATTTTTCATATGTTTAAAGGCAATTTGGATATCCTTTTGTGAAGAGTCTCTTCAAATATTTTGTTAATTTTTCTACTGTTCTTATTAATTTGTAAAAGTTTTTTATATATTCTGGATAAAATTTTTTTTGTCAGATATGTATTAATAATTTAGTCTCCCAACCTTTGGCTTACCTTTTTACTTTCTTAATGGTAGATTTTGCAATAGAATTTTTTCATTAAAGGCAAATTATACCAATTTTTTCTTTTATAGTTACTAAGCATTTTATTTTTTTTGAAACTTAAGTTTCACTCTTGTTGTCCAGGCTGGAGTGCAATGGCACAATCTCCGCTTACTGCAACCTCCGCCTTCTGGGTTCAAGCAGTCCTCCTGCCTCAGCTTTCCAAGTAGCTGGGACCACAGGTGCCCGCCACCACTCCCAGCTAATTTTTTTCATCATGTTGGTCAGGCTGGTCTAGAGCTCCTGAACTCAGATAATCCACCTGCTTCAGCCTCCCAAAGTGCTGGGAATACAGGTGTGGGCCACCGTGCCCAGCAGTTACTAAGCATTTTGTAGGATCAATAGTCTTTTGATGCCACTTTAATTAATAAGATTTTCTCATCAGCTTTTTAAGTAAACTATCCTCAGTGGCACAAAGATATCTCTTTAGAACATTCAAAAGCAGTTTCAAACCCTTATAGGAAAATTTAAAGAGACTTTCTTTTCTCTCAGGAGCTAACTCTTAAAGTCCCAAATTCTCACAAAAGCGGGCCTCCCTTTAACTTAGCAACTTTCACTTGGGAATTTAAAGAACAAGAAAGTTTATATATTATTTCCTCTGAAAGTGCTCCTAACAACCTTAACTGTAACTCTAGACAAGTCTGGGTGATTGGCCTATATGTTTCCATAGAATACCTATTTCTGTCATAATTACTCTTACCATATTATATCTGTTTATAGACTGCAAGCTGTATAAGGAAAGGAAGAGTATTTCATCTTGTTCACTTCTTTTTACTCACTATCTGGCAGCAAAACACTCAATGACTATCATTTAATTGAGTTTTAAGAAAATGATGGAAATGTCAAAGAATTAACCACAGGTTTGTCAATCAGATGGTCTATATTGCTATAAAAATTAAAATGGCCTATAGTGCATCCACATAAAAATATGGCAGAGTGGCTCCAACATCTATTAATGATCAAAATTCTCAGTAAACTAGTAACAGATACGCTGATAAAGATTTCTCCAGAAAGCCTACAGCTAACATCATACTTAAGGGTGAGAAATTTGAAGCTTTTCCAGTAGATCAGGAACAAGACAAGGATGTCCCCTTTTATCACTTCTTTTCAACATCATACTGAAAGTTCTAGCTGCATGAAGAAGACAAGAAAAGGAAGTATAAGGCAGACAGACTGGGAAGAAGAAACAATAACTGCCTTTCTCTGTAGGTGACACAATTCAGAAATCCAGATATTTTCCCAAAGTCCTACTTCTCTCTAATCACACACATCTTCCATATCTCGCCAATTCCCATATCTTCCATCCTATCTCTCATTTCTGTGTATCTCCACTGCCACAACCCAAAACCATTTTTTTTCTGCCCAAAGTGAACAGTCTTCCTATCTTCTTCCCCAGCTTCCAGTATATTCTTCCTATTGTTACAAGGAAATCTAAAAATCTATGTGTTGCTCATAGTTCTTCAATGACTTCCCATTGACTATGGTCCAAAACCTAAACCCCTTTGCATGCATACAAGGCTCATAGTAGCAAACTCTGTCTTTCCCATAAAGCCTCATCTGCTGCCACACACCATTTTCCTATGATTTGCATTTTATGCTCACTGATGTAATAAAAAATTGTTTGGAGTTCTCCCAACTTATCACACTGTATTTTATTTTGCTTTTGTAGAAAACAGAAACACAAAGAGATCAAGTTACTGCCAAGATGGAGTGTGGTAGTTAGCCCCCAAGAGGGTCTGCCCACAATGATCCCTACCTTCAAGTATCCATATCTTTGTATAGTACTCTCCCACAGCGTACCAACAGATTTGTGTGACCAACAGCACACAACAGAAATTACAGTATATCACTTCTGATATTAGGTTATAAATGACTGTGTGTGTCCTAACACTTTGGGAGGCCAAGGCAGGTGGATCACAAGATTGAGGACCATCCTGGCCAACATGGTAAAATCCTGTCTCTACTAAAAATACAAAAATTAGCCAAGCAGGGTGGTTTGTGCCTGTACTCAGGAGGTTGAGGCAGGAGATTCACTTAAACCTGGGAGGTGGAGGCTTCAGCGAGCCGAGATACTGCCAATGCACTCCAGTCTGGCAACAGAGCAAGACTGTCTCAAAAAAAAAAAAAAAAAAAAAAAAAAAAAAATTCTCTTACCGGCCGGGTGCGGTGGCTCACACCTATAATCCCAGCACTTTGGGAGGCTGAGGCGGGTGGATCACAAGGTCAGGAGTTCGAGACCAGCCTGGCCAAGATGTTGAAACCCCATCTCTACTAAAAATACAAAAATTAGCTGGGCGCGGTGGCACGCGCCCGTAATTCCAGCTACTCAGGAGTTGAGGCAGGAGAATCGCTTGAACCTAGGAGGCGGAGGTTGCAGTGAGCTGAGATCGTGCCTTTGCACTCTAGACTGGGTGACAGAGTG